ATAGAAACTTTAAAAGCAATCCATGAAAAATAAAAAATTTTGAAATTTTCGATTTTTTGAATTTTTTGAAAAAATTGAATATCTGCCGTTCTAATTAATATTTTTTAAATCTGTAAATTTATAAACCTTCCTTGGGTCAATACCTAATAACCTACCAAGTTGGACTTAAATCGATTCACATGTTTTTGTGTGATTGGGGTACAAAGTTTTTGTGACAGACAAACATACATACATACATACATACATACATACATACATACATACATGCATACATACATACATACATACATACATACATACATACATACATACATACATACATACATTAAATTTTTTAAGAATATTTTTGGAATCTCTGATGTCCATAATAACTAATCATGTTAACATTTTTAAGTTTTAAGCAATGTACAGACAGACATCTGATTTTATTAATAAGGATAATTATAAATAAAATAAATTTATTGTGTCAAATAATTTTTATTTGCATCAAATAAACGAAATATTTGGGTAAAATAAATGAATGAATAGTTTCAAGTAACTCATTATTTTCGTTTCAAATAATTATTTAATTGATTGAAAAATTTTTTCATTTATCTTGATAAAATGTATATTAGTTTTGAATAATGAATTATTCGGATTAAATATTTCAGTCTATATTAGAATCAATAAAATAAATTTACTGAATCAAATAATTCTTAGTTGCATCAAATAAATGAAGTATTTGAGTAAAATAAATGAAAGAGCAGTTTCAAATAATTCATTATTTTCGTTTCAAATAATTATTTAATTGATTGAAAAATTTTTTTATTTATCTTGATAAAATGTATATTAGCTTTGAATAATGAATTATTCGGATTAAATATTTCAGTCTATTAGAATCAATAAAATAAATTTACTGAATCAAATAATTCTTACTTGCATCAAATAAATGAAGTATTTGAGTAAAATAAATGAAAGAGCAGTTTCAAATAATTCATTATTTTCGTTTCAAATAATTATTTAATTGATTGAAAAATTTTTTTATTTATCTTGATAAAATGTATATTAGCTTTGAATAATGAATTATTCGGATTAAATATTTCAGTCTATTAGAATCAATAAAATAAATTTACTGAATCAAATAATTCTTACTTGCATCAAATAAATGAAGTATTTGAGTAAAATAAATGAAAGAGCAGTTTCAAATAATTCATTATTTTCGTTTCAAATAATTATTTAATTGATTGAAAAATTTTTTTATTTATCTTGATAAAATGTATATTAGCTTTGAATAATGAATTATTCGGATTAAATATTTCAGTCTATATTAGAATCAATAAAATAAATTTACTGAATCAAATAATTCTTAGTTGCATCAAATAAATGAAGTATTTGAGTAAAATAAATGAAAGAGCAGTTTCAAATAATTCATTATTTTCGTTTCAAATAATTATTTAATTGATTGAAAAATTTTTTTATTTATCTTGATAAAATGTATATTAGCTTTGAATAATGAATTATTCGGATTAAATATTTCAGTCTATTAGAATCAATAAAATAAATTTACTGAATCAAATAATTCTTACTTGCATCAAATAAATGAAGTATTTGAGTAAAATAAATGAAAGAGCAGTTTCAAATAATTATTTAATTGATTGAAATATTTTTTTATTTGTCTTGATAAAATATTATATTAGCTTTGAATAATAAATTATTCGGAGCAAATAATTCCGCTTATTAGAATCAATAAAATAAATTTATTGTGTCAAATAATTTTTATTTGCATCAAATAAACCAAGTATTTGAGTGAAATAAATGAAAGAATAGTTTCAAATAATTCAATATTTGTATTAAATAAATTTATTTATTCAATTCAATTAACTATTTATTTGAATCAAGTACGATTTATTTGGTTCAAATAAGTATGATTCAAATAATTGCAGATATTTAAATCAAATACATATTTTTTTGATCCAACTAAAAAGTATTTAAATCAATTAAATATTTTTCAAATAATTTGAATTATTTGAATCAAATACATTTTTTTTTCAGTGTAGGACTTGCTTTAAGAACAATTCTCCTTAATTCAGCGGCCTTTTTAAATCTAATTGTTTTATTTCTTAAGGTTTTTCTTCCATTTCGACAATCTTTGCAGCAGGAGCGTCTGGAATCATTCGGTAAAACGAGTGAGCAATTTTTATGTCGTAAGCAATGCAAAATATCAAATGCAGCAAAAGATGTTAGCGTGTTTCCAATATTGAATCCGCTGAAGCACATCCAGAACAAACTTTAACATCGTTAAATTTTAGAATTAAATTCTCCAGTTCTTCCAATGTCGATGCATGAGTTACAGTAAAATCAAGTTTTATACCCATCACTTTAGCTGAAATTCGCATATCTTCATAAACTTTTAACTGTTTAGAAGAAACAAACTTTATAGAATCATTCACTCCCTTTTAATTAGTTTGCGAAAACTTCAAAACAGAAATATCACCGAAACTTGTCTTTCTTGGATACCAAGGAATTGCAGGGTGTCTACAACACCTGGAAAACCTGAAAAACCGGGAAATGTCAGGGAAATTAAAAATGTCCTGGAAAACCTGGAAACGTCAGGGAATTTTTTCGAAAGTCAGGGAATTTTTTTCATTGTGACTTGAAATACTCTTGAACAATATTTTTAAAGCCCACAATTAGTTTTACAAATTTTTAGTAAAAAAATAATAGTAAAGTTTTCAAAAATAAAGTTTTCCAGAAGAATTTAATTAATTAAAAAAAAAAATTTCCACAATATTTGTGTCGCGCTCTGAGGAAAGGTACCTAAGAAGCAAAAAATTTGAGGTTATGTTTTTAATTTTTTGAGTAAAAATACAGAAAGAGAATCAATTATTAATTCAAAATTGTTGGTCTTCAAGTCTCCATTAGGGGTCATCCATAAACCACGTAGCCTCTTGAGGGGGAGGGGGGGGGGTCAAGCAATTGACTACGACAAGAGGAAAAAATGGCGCTAATACATGTAATAGCGTACTACATGGGGGAGGGGGGGGGGGTCAAAATTCCCCAAAAATGGGGCTACGTGGTTTATGGACGGTCCCTTATATGCAAAATATTTAATAAAAATTGGTTTTAAATTCAAATAATTAAAAACAAACTTTTAATCAAGATAATTGTAACACGAACCCAACCTAAAATTCGTTTGCTTCTTAGGTACCTTTCTTGGGAGCGCGTCACATTTATTATAGTTTGAAAAAATTAATAATTTAAAACAATTTTTATAAAATTTGTATGAAGAATTCAATTATTTTCTAAAATAACAAAATTTTTCATTTTTGGAAATTTTAATAATTTAATTATTTTTAATACAATTTTACAGAAATTGCTAAAAAAAATGTAATTATTGTTAAAAATTTCATTTCAATTCCTCGCGAAAATCAATTACTTAAAAAAAATGTTTTTTTTAAATTCTTTGAAAGAATTCAATTATTTACAAAAATATTAGAATTTTTCACAGGAATTCAATTATTTTCAAATATTTTAATAAAATTGTTCGAAATAAATCAATTATTTTAAATACAATTTTAATTACATTTTTTTTGAAATAATTCATTTATTCTTTTACATTTTAATAAAATTCTTTGCAAAATTCAATTATTTTCATAAATAACAATATTCATTACAAGAATTCAATTATTTTTAAAAGTAATGCATTTTTTCTCAGGACTTTAATTATTTTTCAAAATTTTTTATAAAATTGTTAACAACTATTCAATTATTTTCATAAATAATAAAAATCATCAAAGAATTTCAATTATTTCTAATCCAATTTTAATCGAATTCTTCGAAAAATGTAATTATTCTTAAAAATTTTATTAAAATTCGTCATCAATTGAAAAATTTGTTGGTAAAATTGTTTATGAGAATTAAATGTTAAGAAACATTTAATAATTCAATAAATTATTTTTGTATTTAAATAATTAAATTCTAATAAAAATTGATTTAAAAATTAATTTCAGTTAAAATTTTGAATAATAATTAAATATTAAAAGCCGTATAGCGTGAATTTTTATAAATAATTGAATTTTGAAATTAATTTTTTTGAAATATGTTAATTGAATTTTTTTTAATTGAAGTTTTTATTTTCGAATATATATTTAATTGAAGAATTTACGAATAATTGAAATTTCGTAAAATTGATTTAAAGAAGAATTTTAGTTAAAAATTGTTGAAAATAATAATTGAATTGATAATGATTTTATCACTCGGTTATCTTTAATTATTATAAAACTTTATAATTTTAAGTAAAATTTTCTCTTATTTGACTCGGATTTCTTAATATCAAATTTTGGATCCGCTCTTTTGTCATTTTATAAATCTGACAGCGGCTTCAGTGACCCCGAAAATTTTCAAAAAATAATTTTCAAGAAAATTTGTTAAATTTTAAAAAATGTTTACCGCCACTTTGGATCCGCTATTTTAAATTTTTTGAATTTTACATTAAATTCAGATTCAGCGACCCCAAAAATCCCCGAATAACAAGTTTAAAAAAAATCCATCTGTTATTGAAGCTAAAAACCTCTTTGCCATCAGTCGTCATCGACTACAAAAAGGTTAAAGACATCGACTTTTTTTAAAAATTTCCATAACTAAATCATTATGAGTAGTAGGTAATGAACATAAATTATTGTGTGACAACTAGAATTATCGTTATTTAAAGAGTTTTTAAAAAAACAATTATATTCTTTTTACAGTTTTAGCAAATGGAACTTTGATTTTTCACAGTACTTACTGTAATTATAAGAGGAAAGTGATACATTTTACACATTATGATTATTAAAAAATTGTTGTTAAAAATAGTTTCTATAAACAAATACTTTAAACAAAATATTAAATAATATTTATTATTATAGTTATGATTATGAAACATTTATTAATATTTTTTAAATGATTATGTATCTATATTTATTTCCTATTGGAATAACTTACGAAAGAAAATGTTTAATATATATTTTTAAATATCTTTTCAGATTTATTGTTCTGCGACGAATTTTCCTTCTCTTAGGACTTTTATACATGATGAGAAGTATAACTATGTTTGTTACAGTTTTACCTGTATCAAGTAAAACATATTATTGCAGTCCTAAAGCAAATAGTACAACTCCGATACTTATAACGAAAAGAGTTTTTCAGTTACTGTCTGGTTTTGGATTGTCCATAAATGGGAAGCACACATATTGTGGAGATTACATTTATAGTGGGCACACAGTCATTCACGTTCTGAGTTACCTTATTTTCAAAGAGTGTAAGTAAAATGTTGATCCAATCGTTAAATTATTATTTAATATCTGGAGTATTCTTCTTTAAACATTCTAGACAAATTTTCCCTTTTTGTAATGGCTTTTAACTTTGTTGTCCTGTATGAGAGTAGGGCTCATTTAAAGAAGCTTTGTAAAAATTAGGGATAGTTGAATAATTAACGTTTCAGGTTTATACCATTATTTTTACATTACTTAAAATATTATGGATTTTAATTTGCAAGGCTGGAATTTTAATGCATTTTTCTTATAGTTTTAAATGCCAAAAGAATTTTTTTTGTAAAAAAATGTTTACCACTGTTTTTATAAAATTATGTAATATCATTACAAAGGAGGAGGGTCGATAAGGCCTGTTTTAGGCCCCCTTGAAATTTTCATTTAACCACCTCGGTGGAGTGGCATTCCACGTCACTTGACACAAGGTGCGGAAATAGCGAAATGGCGATCCGACATTTTCTGTATTTTTAAAGAGCCATTTTGAATCTCGAAAAACTGACATTGGATTCCTAATCGCCATTCGTAGAAAAGTATTAAAAATGCCGATTTGCAATGTCTAAAAAAACAAAGAAAATCTTAAGAAAGCAAATTTTTATTGTCATTTTTGTGTTCCCTGATATCGAAAACATAGAAATATATTGTTGCAGTAAATTTTTAGTTATGAATGGCGAAATTGTTTCCAACTTTTTACGCGTTTTAATTTTTTTTTTCACCTCCAACGGAATTTTAATAAAATTCGGCTGGGATTTAATTTTTCAAATTAACATTCGGTAAGTCTATTTCGCCTATGATAATATGGAAATTATTTAATTACTTTACTGTAGACAGACTGAATGTGATTTGAGAGAGACTCCAATGGATATTAAAATAACTAGTTTTTATGATTTATTGTGGAAATTTTGAATTGTTATTCTAGTTATTTGAAATAACAGTTTTAATGAAGGTAGAATGAACTTATTTTAGATTCACCTAAAAGATGCTTATTATTACATTGGCTTACCGGATTGACGGCGCTTGTAGGTGTTATTATGGTATTAGTTGCTCATGGTCACTACACTGTAGATGTCCTCATTGCATATTATGTAACAACACGTTTATGGTACATTTATCACACGCTTGCAAACAACATCAATTTGAAGGTAAGATATTCATTATACAAGTACATGGTGTACTTGATAATTTTATGTAATAATTCGAAAAGTAGGGTCATTTGGGGTAAATGTTATCTGTTGAAGTTTGAGATGAATTTCAAGATTTAAAATTAAGTTAGACAATATTTTAAATTCAGCTCGCCCGTAAGAGGTTCTAAGTATTGCCAATATTTTATTTTGACAATTACCAGTGCCGTACTCCGCAACCCGAGTCAAAATTTAGACCCCCTTTTAGTTCTCCAAAAACCTCTTTTTAACCTCTTTTAAGCCTCTTTAACACTTCTAAATCCTCTTTTGAACCTAAAAACAGCTGAAATGGATTTTCCGCACTATTAGAGGTTCAAAAGAGGTTGAAAATTTAAATTTCACAAAAATTTGAAATCCTCTTTTCAACCTCTAAACATCGGAATATGGATTTTTCCGCATCGTTTTCAGGTTCAAAAGAGGGTCTAAATTTTGACTGGGGAAGTTATCTCTTAATACATAAAAAATTGAAAATTAAAGTTTCACAGTTTTAATATTTTGACTTCCATTTGCATAAAAATAAACTAAAAATTCAAACCAAAATTTATAAATATTCCTATTTAATGCTATAATAAAAATTGTTTTTGATTTTTAAATTTTGGCAATTTAGTTGAATGGAGTTGCCACTGAATTTCAGGTTTTTTTTCATAGAATTTTTTTGTAGTAAAAAAAATATTATTTGAAGAGAAAGATGCAATAACGAACGAGGCACTCGGGCTGATCCCCCACTACAACGAGATAACGTAGAAATTATCTGAAATAATAATTTTCTCGAAACATAAAAAAAAATATAGTAACGTGTAGAGAGTTACATAACGGACAAGTTTTCTGAATATTATTTATCTTAATGTTCACTACATTTTGCAAAAAAATTAAAAATTGCAAAATTTCGATAACCTGAAATCAATAACTTTTTGAAAAGTTATTCACGACATCTCCATTTTTTGTAAATGAAATTTTTTGCTACTTCATACCTAAAATAAATTTTAAGTCAACGAGACAATTCAGCTCAAGAATATTACAAAAATTCCACTTGCTCGTATTATTTTTTAATATTAAATACAGAATGTTAGAATTTGATTTTCCATGTCTTCTGAAGGAAAAAGTTTGCGAGAATGTTTTATTAAGAAAAAACTTCAAACGACAAAGTTGTTTCTTATATAGTATGGAGAAGTTTTTTCTACAATTTCAGATCGATCAGTTAAAAACTGTAAAAATTATAAACATTTATATTCGAACATTCATTGAATTGAAAGTATCCTTTCATGTAAAAGGTGATATGATTTAATCATGCAATGAAGTTAGTTTGTTGTTAATTATTTTTCAATGAATTAAATTTTTTTCCTATTATGTAAAATAGCAATATTTTATAGTTTTCTTAAAAATGAAAGTTTGAATAAAACTTTTTTTATTTTTAAATATTTGTTTCTACATTAATTATTTTTTACAATTTATAATTTAAATTTTTAAAAAAATTTTTTAAATTAATTTCTACCGTTTATTTTTTGATTTTTAATATTACATACTTTCACATCGTGCAATGTTCCGATCTCATTCTGTTTGATAGGTTACTTACTTTAATGAAATAGTAGAATTTTTTTTAACATGAAATTTTATGGGTAAAGTAGTTTTTTACATAGTTTTTATGAATGAACAATTTTTTAAAAATTAAAATTCAATATCTTTAAATAAAAAAATTGGATTCAAGACAAAAATAATGCCGTTTGAATCATTGAAATCAGTCAACAAGTTCTTCTAAAATTTGTTCTTTTTAAAAAAAAAAAAAGTAAAAATATTCAATTCTTAACAAGAGCAAAAATTTTTTTTTGAAAAATCCTTTTACATATTGATTTTTTTATATATATATAATTCTACATGAAAATTAACATTTAGAAAAAAATAAACATTTTCAAGTTTCTTCATATCTAATTCTATTTTTAATTACGATTTTTTAAAAAAATTTCACATTTTTTGATAAATAAAAATGGAAAAATTAGCATAATTTCTATTTTCTAATGACAAATTTTATTTTAAAATTTTCTGTTTTTAAGTTTAAGTTTTTCAGGATGGTCACAAATTTCAGTTAATAAATTTCCCTGACAATTTACTGACATTAAAAATATTTTCCCTGACAAAATTCTTTCTATAGGGAAATATGAAAGTTTATGTAAAATAAGTAAAATTACTAAAAATTACTAAAACTTAACAATTTCTAAAAATTACAATTATAACCCTTCCTGAATTCAATTATTTTATACAATTTTCAACTAAACTTTATCTTTAAATCAATTATTGCTTCCTCCTAGAGGAAGTATTTTAAATAATTTTTCGAAATTTTTTCTAGAATTCAATTATTTAAATACAGATTTACTCAATTTTTTATAATAATTGTAACTGTCTATGTTTTTTCCTTAAGTTTTTAAAGTACAATATTTTCAAAAAATTATAATAAAAAAATTCTTACAATTAATTTTTTTTAAATATATTAAAATAATTTTGGAAAAATTAATAGTTCTTCAATTAGGTACAATTAAAAAATTTCCTAACGATTGAAATTTGGTAAAATCTTTTAAAAATAATTCAATTTCTTAAAAGAATTTTTGTATAATTTACTAATTAATTTTTTGATGAATTTTAATTAAAAATTTTGAATATGATTTTTTTCTCCAAAATGTTAAAAATAATTCTAAAATGTTATTATCTTTTGTATGTATTTGAATTTGCGGAATTATGTAATTGAAAATACTGAAAGTATATTGGATTTTAAGAAATTAGAAGCTAATTTTCATTTTTAAATTTATATCTAAAGATTTTTTATTAACATTAAAAAAATCAAAATAAGTTGCACTTTTTGACAAAAAATTGTGGTACATTTTGTTTCAATGTTTGGAAGAAAAGTCGAGAAAGTCACAATTTTTGAAAGTAAGTCGAAAAAAGTCTCAATTTTCTTAATTTCTCTGACAAAAAATTTTTTTCCTGACATTTTCCTGACTTTACTAACAAAAATTTTATTTCCGACATTTTCCTGACCTTCCGACAACAATTTTTTTCCTGGCATTTCCCTGACTTTACTGACATGTGGCCACACTGGATTTTGTACAAATAGGCACTTTGAATTTAATTTAAAGAATATTGAGCATTTTTCTATTATTTTGATTTGTGTTATAGAAATAGTACTTTGAAAAAAGAAATTTTTTGTTTTATTTTATAAAAAAATAAAAAAATGTCAAAAGATATTATTCTTAAATATCTATGGGGCCGTTCAAAAAATATGTAACGCTATTTTTCGGAAATTTGGACACCCCCCTCCCCCAAAAAGCGTTACGTATTTTTTGAACGGCCCCTATCGACATTAAAATGAGAAATTTCACGCGTGCGTTATTTTAGCTAGTTATTTAATAACATTCGACGAATTCATTTATCACTTTTGTAATGAATAAAATAATTAAGGCGTTGACTGTGGATGACTAAAAATGAGTCAATATTCATTGTTTTTATTTATATTAATTTTTTTTAACTTTTTTAGTTTCTCGATTTAGTAAATTTTATTAAAACGTTTATTTTTTCACAGCAACATGGTCCAAATAATAGTTTGGCTCGTCTTTGGTGGTTTCCTCTATTCAAATACTTTGAGAAAAACGTTGGTGGCCCCGTACCCCGACAATACGACTGGCCTTTTCCATGGCGTCGAAGATTTCTTACAAAACATCCAAACAGAGACAGTTAATGTAAATAAATTCTTTGTAACAAAAACTTGATTTGAAAAAATCGTTTTCATGTAAATATACACTTCTCTTGGAATACTACCACTTACACGGAAGAACATTGTTTGCCGAAAAGTCGGGAACTGTTACCGTGCACCTATCAAAAAGTGAAAATTTGAATAATGATATTTATAAAGTCAAAATAATTCTATGATTGTTTTAATGTCTGAAATAATTATATATGTGATTATTACGTTTCTAAAATTCAAACTATTCAGGCTGAAATATTTTGTACAGAATTATAATATTAATAATATAAATATAAATATAATTATAAATATATGAATATATAAATATATAAGTATAATATGAATCTTGAATATTTATATATATATGTTTATATATTTTTTGTTAGAATGCATAACTATGAATCAGCCTACGAGTGTGTTAGTCAAATGGTCAAAACTTTTAATGTGCAGTTTTTTGTGCCTCACTCGCACTTACGCTTATCGTGATTCATAGTCAAGTGTTCTTACTATACACTGGAAGAATTTTAGGCAGGCTGCTGGCTTTTCATGCTCGAAATTAGTGCCCCTTGCACAGGGCTCGCAGCTCACCTCAAAAAAGCGAGCATCTACTCCCGAAAGGTAAGCAGCTGCCCCTGAGGAGTTGCTGCTTACCTTTCGGGAGTAGATTCTCGCCTTTTTGAGGTTAACTGCGAGCTTGAGGCAGCGAGCTCTAGCGGCACTCATGTAAAGCCTGCAGCCTGCCCAAAATTCTTTCAGTGTACATCATATCTTTTTAGAAACTTTTATGAAATATTGGTCAGGTTCAATAAAAATGTTTGTGGTAATTTCTGTTGTAATCTCGAGGATAGTTTCCCCGAATATTCTAGAATAATGATTCATATACAAGTTTTTAATGAGAAAAAATTTTTTTTTTAAATTTCGGTGGAAGCTTCTTCTGTGATTTTAACTGAACCTGATTCTTTGAATGAATCTTTTAGGAAGATATATTTCAACCGTTGCCTTTATGACATAGCCTTCTTCTAATGATAATTTGTAATATTAGACATTATATAATAATATGCGATATTTATAATACAAGGGCTTGAGAACCTATTTTTACTTATACAAGACTGGGGAACTGAACCCGTTTCACTTGTAAAGGAATTTACGTTTCCTCAAGCCACAATAATATAACCTCAAAAATGTCGAATGCAGAAGTTAGTTTATGTCCTTAGATTTTGTTTCTATACACTGAGGGTTAAGTATGACCACACTTGTTTTCATAAAGAAAAAAAAATGTGTATAAAACTATCGTAAAGATATCTTCGTGAGTACTAACTTAATTTTTAACATGGTTCTGTATTAATTTTTATATTGCAAATCAACTATAGTTGAAGCTTACTGATTAAACAATGTTACAGTATAACACATAAATATGAAAAATTTCTGCCAACAGTACTCAAAATTAGTCAAGGTAAAAACTCCATTTAGTTCCAAATATCCATGAGAATCTTTAAAGAAAGAAAATGATAAAACGGGAAAAGAAGTAGGAAATTAAAAAAATTGTTTTAAAAATTTTTTTTTTATTTTTTTAAAAAAATTTTTTTGCAGAGTAGTGCAAATATTGTAGCATCTATTTCTTGCTACGTGAGCAAACTTCTGCGTAGACATGTTGTTTTATCTTCTGCCCTTATCTGGTGGGGACCATGTGCAACTTATTAATTTGTTTGAGCAGAGAGAAATGAGAATCAACATAGCACAATATTTTTTCTGAAGTTTACAGCAAACGCATTGTAAGAGTTAAAAGATTGCAAATAAGTTTGCAACAATTTTTTTGTAGCTACAAAAATGCCCCCAGTTTTTTTATTAAATTTTTCCAAATGTAAATCATATTTGTAACACGACAAATTAATATAACAAACTTGTAAAAAATGTGATATTTCGAATAGATAATATGAAGATCGCGACGTAATAGATAATTTCAAATTATCCAAAAGAAATAAGCGGAAATAATTTCGCTTTTCACTGATATTATTGTGATGCAAGTTTATCAAAAATTTAATTGTTATTCATTCATTATTTTACTATTATTAAATTAATATTATTTATTTTTAATAAACAATTAAAAAAATTTTTAAATAATTGTAGTTTTAATAAAAATGGGCGAATTTTCGATAATTAACACTAGAGCGAATGTTTTTCTGTAAACTTCGCAAAAAAGACTATGCAATGTAGGCGTAGGCAGATAATAATTAGGACCATTTGTTATCAATTAATAAATATAGAATAAATGAACCAGAACACATTTCTTACTTTCTGTAAAGAGTATATTTCTTCTCATTGCCGTGAAGTCGTTTAGTGAAAAAAATTTGTGATCGACTTAAATAATACCTTTTTATCTGTTCAAATTGTAAATAATTTTACAGTACTATGTTATTGTTTAAAAAGCTTTAAATTTTCTGTCTATAATTGTAATTTTATAAATATACAAATAAATATATATTTCACGTTCTATTTGTAATTTTGTCATAAAATTCTAACCATACATTATTTTACTTTCTAAGTTGAATTCAAAATACAAAACTCGTTTATCTTTAATCGTTTAAAAGATATGAGCAATTATTGCATTTTATAAATAAACTATTCGACGCCTTCTGTCTAGATAATGTTATTTCAAACAAAAACAAATGCTATATGAAGTTGATTCACAAATTAATGCAAGACAATTCTAAATAATTCATTCTCAAATTCAAGATAATGCTATCTTAAAATCCAATGAAATAATATTATGTTCAACTAAAATTAGCGTACCGACAATTATTTTATCCATTTTTCTTAAGAAAATTTCTAAAAAATCATAATTTTGAGAAGTAATTTTCTTTAAAATCATTTTATTTTATTATTCATTTTGTAATTTTATATTTATATTTCTTTGATATTTTCAGACATCGCACTCGATAATTAATTTTAAAAACTTCACAAAACTGACAATAATTCCATTATATCTATATTTTATTTTCCTGACTGTCTCCTAATTTTCATAAAAAATATTTACTTCTTTCTTCTCCTGATAATAAATTCAATTTCTGCAACGAATTTTATTATTCATGAAAGAATTTAAATATTTATAAAAATGATATAATTCTTGCGAAGAATTTTATATAAATTTTTAAATTTAAATAAAAATAAATTTTTAAATTCATTTCTTTCGACTAATTGAGGGCTCGGATCGAAGAACCGACGCTTCGCTTGGCTACACAGCTCCATGCCAGTCAATCGCACAAAAATGTAGAAAAATTAAAACTCAAAATTTTAATTTCTAAAATATACTACATTATAGGAAATAAAGAGGCGCATGTTTTTTTCCTTTGAAATTTTTTTATAAAATGGATATTTTACGAAATAATTACAAAAAACTGCAAAATTTTATTTCTCAAATTTCATTGAATTTTTAAACATAAATCGTCGTATCTTTGACAAATATTAATCAATTAATTAATATTAATTAATTTTTAAACAAATTTTAATTATTAATAATGTTTTGTCAATAACCATACGTTTAAGGAAACGTGGTAAGGACCTTCGCCGAGAAAAAGTGTGTGAGAAACTTTCGAGTTGAAAGAACTTTCAGTGAGACATTTGTTCCTTATTATATATGAAGAAGTTTTCTGGAAAAACCCCGGTCGATTTATTCAAAATTTTGTACATTATAAACGTTTTTTGCAAAGAATTTTATTAAAATGCCTCAAAATAATTGAATTTTCGGGAATAATTTTCTTATTTATCGACATAGAATTTTATTACAATCTAAAAGAATAATTCAATTGAATTATTTCATAAAAATGTAATCAAAATTGCATGTATTTAAAATAATTGATTTCTTTCAAGCAATTTTATTAAAATATTTGAAAACAATTGAATTCATGTGAAAAATTCTAATATTTTTTGTAAAGAATTGAATTCCTCCAAAGAATCTAAAAAAACATTTTTTTAAATAATTGATTTTTTCGAGGAATTCCTGTAAAATTGTATTAAAAATAATTGAAATCCTGCGATGAATTTTATTATTTATGAAAATAATTGATTAGTTGTAATGAATTTTAATAAAATTTTTAAAAATAATTGAATTCCTGAGAAAAATTTTAATATTTATAAAAATAATTGAAATATTGCGAAAAATTTTATTAAAATGTTTAAAAAGAATTGAATTCTTTATAAGAATTTTATAATTTAATAAATAAATAAATAAAATAAATAAATTTAATATAATTTAATTTTTTAACATTGTTTTAAATAATTAATTTTTTCGAATTATAATAAATATTATGAAAAGTTTATTTTTAAATAATTGAATTCTTGTAGAAAATTTTATTTATGAAAATAATTGAATTCTTGCTTAGAATTTCATCAAAAATTTTATTTTTTTAAAAATTGAATTTCCATGAAAAATGTTAATATTAGTGAAAGTAATTGAATTATTATTTAAGAAAATAATTGAATTTTGGGTGAATTTTATCAATTTTTTTAAAATAATTATTTGAATTGAATAATAATAATAATAATAATAATAATAATAATAATAATTATTATTATTATTATTATTATTATTATTATTATTATTATTATTATTGAATAATTATTTTTTTTGCGAAATTTTATGAAAATACTAGATATTGAAAATATTTGAATTTTGAATACTTTTTGAAAATAATTAAATCGTTTTAAAGAATTTGATTATAATTTTCGAGAATAGTTTTTCGATTTCTAGTATCAGCGAATTTAAAGTATTGGAAATTCTCAAAAAAAAAAAAAAAAAAAAATGGTAGCTTTTAGTGGCTAAAATTTAAAAAAAGTACTCAAATAGTAGCGTAACGTAAACAAGTACTTAATAGTAGGTTTTAGTATAGATGAGTGCGAAGCCTGTATTTTATTTATTTTTATTATAATTTATTTTATAATTAGATAATTGTTTGTACTAAAATTTTTTTATCCAATTGTGAAATATGTTAATTTTGAAAATAGTTAATAGGGTAAGTGCGTCAATTATAACGAATGCTCTAGTTACGGTGACTTTTTGAAAAATATTTACAATTTTAGAGTAATATAACTACTTGAAATAGTTATTTTCGTATCAAGGGCGCAAAATAGGTGATTGCGACGATGGCGAAATGAAGGGACCGAGGGGACACAATTTCGCGCCCGAAGCGAAGCCGAGGGAGCGAAAGTGTCCCCGAGGTCCCGAAATTTCGCCAGAGTCGTAATCACCTTTGCGCCCATGATGCTAACATAATTTTTTGTCCTAACAGCATGGAAAGTATGTCATTGAGGGCACGAACGATTAAACGCTCATATTAGTTAAAAATTAATTAAACTCTATATAAATGATAACTCTTTGAAGTTTATAATGATACAAGTTTTAATATAGAAATAAGAAAACAATGTATTCTGGAAATATAGTAATTGCCAATTTTTATAACCGAAATGTGAACGAAATCAAATGTGTCATAATTTTTTTTAGAGAAAATCGAAAAAAATTGCACATTTTTCTAGACAAAATAAAACAAGTTGAAAATGTTTGCATTTTGATAGTCAACATAAAAAGAAACTCGAAAATATCACATTGTAATGAAGAAAATCGAATAATTAACATGCGGGCGCATGGGTGGTAATGAGTTACTTTGCGCCCGCTCTAAGTGCCCGAAATGAAATACTTTCCGTGCAGGTAGGACAAAAAAAAATTATTTTCGACCTTACTCGATACAATTATACGCAAAGAAATGCATTTAAACTATTATTAATTTAATTGACGCTTTTGGTATTATTTTTAATTGCTTTAATTTGTTTAAATTATTAATTTTTATAAAGTATTTATTAATGTTTCAAGAGCTTTTAGTTTAATAAGTCGTAAATTTACTTCTTTCATTATAATTAAATAAATTTTGATTTCGTGTTGGTAAAATTTTGGTTTACAATGATAAAATTATTAAAACTCAGTTTTTTAAATAATTCTTTATTTTAAAAAATTACTTATGCATATTTTTAAAATTCATTATTAATGCTTGAAATTTGTTATAGTTTTGAGAATGTAGATTTACAAAACTTTATAACGGCCACGCGAGACATTATGCGCTCCAGACGTCTGTAATTTCATTAATTCTTCTTTAATTAACCGCGATACTTCAGCTTTTGCTTTGCTTACAGCTAACTCACTCGTCGATTCAATTGCAAGGTACAACTTTCTTTCTCCTTCAGGTGGTGCTTTTCCAGGTACAATGTAAGTACCCCTGACGGTAAGTCCAGCTTCTGAATATTCTGAAATTTGCGCTAAAGCTTCTTTACTAGTTACCCGCCATCTGGCTTGCTGTGGGAAATCATTGATTTCAAGTTCTTCCTCATATTTTCGGAAGGTTTGTTCACCCCCTTCACACTCTCCTTCAACTAAATCTTCCTCTCTTGGTTGATAATTCAGTTTTGTGTTCAATTTTGCAGCCAATTGTTCCGCAACAGTTTTCGCCTATAAATGAAAATAAACGTTCAGTAAATATAAACTATGGACCGATAATATTTTATGTAATTTTGAATAAAGTTATTTTTAAAAAATTCGTATTTGAATTGGATTTTCACCCTTTAATTAAATATTAAAAATAATATTACCGTAATGAGATTAGTAGGTCCGGCTCCTTTGAGAATTGCTTCTGCCGCCTGCTGCGAAACCCCCTTTGCTTCGGCGCCCAAATTTTTGGCAATATTTATTTTCGATGCAAGCTTCTTGGCTAACTCCAATTTGTCCGTTGCACTTGGTACAGGTTGACCGGGTACAGAAATATTGGGAACTGAAGGTCTTGATATTTCTCGCACAGTTCGTTTAGGTGCCAACATACTTTCAATTTGTTGATCAATATCATTTTCAATGTCTTCATCGTCTGAGTCTTGCAAACCGAGAGCGGCTTTTTGAAACTTCTTCTTCTCATTAGCCAAAGCAGCTTCAGATTCATCAAACTTAAAACCTTTTCCGCTAAAACCGCCACCAGTGTGAACTTTTTTACCGTCTGCTACTTGACGAGCTTTGTAATCTTCCCAAAGCTTTCTTAATGCTTCAGGTACAGGAACCATGGCTAACTCATGAGCTCGTAAGATATCTCCAGCATACCTCTCTTGCTCTGAAGTAATAAACGTGTAAGCATATCTAAAAAGAAAGTCTAAATTAGAGAAAAGCTGATGATGTTTACTGATAAAAAATATTTTTACTGAATGTTATTATATACATTACAGGGTTGTCACAAAAATTTAATTTAAATTTTCCCTGATTTCCAGACAAAATATTGACTTTTTCCCTGACCCTAAAGAATATCCTGATTCACTTACTAAATGATTAGATACTTAAAAAAATGTTCTATTACATTTATTTACAAATTTCTTCAAAAGTGAAATTATACAAAAACATCAATAACTTCTTTTTTAAATAAATATTTAATCATTATTTTTCAATAGGAATTGAGATATTTAAAAAATCCAAATTTAAACCTTCTTGAAATTCAATAACTTTTAAGAAATTATTATAAAACATGAAGAAGCGAGCACTCCGAGTCTTCGATTCGGAGCAACCGATATCTTCATGTTTTATAATAATTTTAATTTCCATAAAGATTTTTTAAAAAAAATTAAACTATTTACAAAAATTTTAGTAAAATTCCTCTCAAGAATTAAATTATTTTTTAAGTAATACAATTTTTCACATAAATTTAATTGTTTAAAAAACTGTAATAAAATTAGTTGCAAGAATTCAATTACATTTTACAAATAATGAAATTTTTAATACAATTTTAAGTAAATTCTTCGAAAAATGTAATTAATTTCGAAAGTTTTATTAAAATTCTTCAAAAGAAATGAACAATTATCAATTATTTTTAATAATTTTTGCAAAAGTTCCTAGAGAATTTTCAAATTTATTTGTTTACAATTCAATTTTACGAAATTTTGATTATTCGAAAATTATTCAATTAAATATTTAGAAAATAAAAATTTGAAATAATTTTCTAAAAAAATTCAATTACACTTTTTCAAAATACAATTATTTCTAAAAATTCATGCTATAATGCTTTTAATATTCAATTATTATCTAAAATTTTAACTGAAATTAATTTTTAAATCAATTTTTATTAGAAAATTCTACGAGAATTCAATTATTTAAATACAAACATAGATAATTTATTGAATAATTAAATGATTCTTAAAATTGAATTCTCATAAAGAATTTTATTAACAAATTTTTAAATAATTGTATTCATTCGACGAATTTTAATAACATTTATAAGGATAATAACATTTTTCGATTAATTAATTTAAAAACCGCTGCCAAGTTGTATATTTTTTTATAATTTTGGTGCTCATATTTCATGAACACTTTGCTTCCTCATAGAGATAAAAATAATAGAAATATATAAATAACTTTTTATAAATATGGTAAAAGTGATTGAATTTTGAGTCAATCAATGTATTTTTAAATACTCTAAAAGATAGTTATAATAGTTTAATAGTTAATCAAAAATTTTCAAACAAAAAAGTTGAGAAAATGTCATTTTCCACAATTTTTGGTTTTTAAAATACCGATAATTTCGAATTATCGAATCAGGTTCAAAAATAGATCAATCGAAGCGTTTTTAATATTCTACAAGTTGGTAACGATAATTTTAAAGTTACTTTTACATTTTTCAATAAAATTTTCAAAAAAGTCTTATTTTCCAAAATTTTTGATTTTTAAAAGTTTAATATCTCCAGTGAATATGGACGAAAAATGTTCAATTAGGGCTCAAAAGATGCATCTAAAAAAACTCTACAAAATTATGGAAAAACATTTATAGGTGTCCTAACATTTTTTAAAGTTATGGGCAAAAAACGTTTTTTTGCAAAATTAAAAATCAAAAAAAAATTTAGTTAAACTTTATTAATCTATCACAAAGTACTCTCACTTTATATCCGCAGGTGAGATCTACAATTTAAAAAAAAATTCAACCCAAAAGCTCTTCATGATTTCGAGATATTTATGAAAATGTGATGTTTCACACACACACGGAATTACATTTTTTAAAAATGTAATTTTTGAACTCCTGAGGTCAAATAACATAAAGATATGTCAAAAAATCGAACTCAAAAAATTTCGGTATTACAATACTTCCTTTATGAGGAAGTAATAGTATTCAAAATAATTGAAATTTTGCAATGAATTTTATTATTTATAAAAATAATTTAATTATTGTGAAGAAATTTATAAAAAAATTTCAGACAATTGATTTTTTCGAATTATGCAAATTCTATTTTTTATACTTGAATTCATGTGAAATGTTCATTATTTTAGAAAATAATTGAATAAATGCGTATAGAACTTTGTCAAAATTGTTTTTAAATAATTGAATTCTTTTGGAAAATTTTATTAAAATGATAGATATACAAATTATTTAATTAAGAAAATTTTTTGAAAATAAAGAAAATTTTGCAATGAATTTTATTAAAATTTGAAAATAATTGAATTCTTGTGATAAATATTGTTATTTATGAAGATAATTGACTTCCTCCTAATGTTTTTATTATTTATGAAAATAATTAAATCTCTGATAAAAGTTTTAAAAGTAATGAAAATAATTGAATTACTGCGAAGAATTCAATGCTAAAATTTTTAAAACATTTGATTTTTTCGAAAAAAAATTATGCAAATTCTATTTTAAATAATTGAATTCCTGTGAAATTTTAATTTTTTTTTTTTGGAAAATAATTGAATGTTCGTGTAGAATTTTATCAAAATTTTTGTTTCATACTTGAATTCTTTTGGGAAATTTTATTAAAATATAGTAGAATATTAAAAATCATTGAATTAAGAAAAATTTTTGAAAATAATTAAATTTTTGCCATGAATTTTACAATGAATTTTATTTAAATTCCTGAAAATAATTGAATTTTGCTGTTTGTTTATAAAGATAATTGAAATGTTGACAATTTCTTTTTAGATTTTTTGAAAATAATTGAATTTCTGCGAAGAATTTTATTAATTTTGAAAATAATTGATTTCTTGTGATGAATATTGTTATTTCTGAAAATAATTGAATTTTGTCGAAGAATTTTGTTATTTATAAAAATAGTTGAAATGTTGATGAGAATTTTTTAAAAAATTTTATGAAAGTAATTGAATTTCTGGAAAGAATTTTAATATTCATCAAGATATAGTTAAATTCTTTCAAAGAATTGCAAACAATTGAAAATTTCGGCAAATTTTATTCAAATAAATGTTATATTTTAAAGAATATAGATAAAATTTTCAAAAAAAGCGTTACATATTTCAGGTGTAGACAAAACGAACGATTGTCGGAAAGAGGAATATTTAGCTAATAAATAATAAAATAATAATTACCCTTTATTTCCAGCTCTGCCAGTTCTTCCACATCGATGAACATAGTCTTCATAATGATTCGGACAATCATAATTAACAACAAGAACAAGACATTTCACATCCAATCCTCTGGCTGCGACAGACGTGGCCACCAATAATTTCGTTCGTCCAGCCTTGAAATCCAATATTGTTGAATCTCTATCACACTGATCTATTCCTCCATGCAAAGACATGCAGGAGTAAGATGCTTTCATCAAATCTTTTAGCAATGTATCAGCGTTTTCTTGTTTATCGACGAAGACTATTATAGAGCCTTTTTGTTGATAATGTCCAAGTATTTCAAGAAGTTTGTAAAACTTCTGATCTTCTTCAAGAACTATGACGTGTTGTTCAACATCTTTACAAACAACAGATCGTCCTCCAACTTGCACCTCAACTGGCCGAGTAAGTATTTTTCTAGCCAAAGCTTCCATTTGTCTGGGGAAAGTTGCACTGAACAAAACAGTTTGTCGATCTGGCCGCACATTTTCCATTATCCGCATTACCTAAAATTCGTAATTAAATTATTATCAATATGAAATACAACTTTTTATACTTGACATTAAAGAGCAGTCCAATGCGAAAAAAGATCAATTTAATGAAAATCTTTTTGAAAATTGAACGAAACGTGAAAACAATTACCTGTGGTTCAAAACCCATGTCAAACATTCGGTCAGCTTCATCTAAGACAACGTAAGTAACTCTTCGTAAATTAGTGACTCTTCCGTTGTTTGCCGCCAACATATCGATCATTCTTCCAGGAGTGCAGACAATTATTTCAGCACCTCTTTTCAGTTCAGCAATTTGCTCCGAAATACCAGTGCCACCGTACACGCAAACATGAGAGAGACCCAGTGATTTTGAAAATTTCTTCGAATCTTTTCCTATTTGCATACAAAGTTCTCTGGTAGGTGTCATGATTAGAGCAATTGGTCCATCTCCCTCACTTAATGCCGGTTGATCAAGAATGTGTCTAAACATTGGCAAGAGAAAAGCTAGAGTTTTGCCGCTTCCAGTTTTTGCGATTCCAATTAAATCACGTCCAAACATAATGGCAGGAATAGCTTGACACTGAATTGGAGTTGGTTTTTCATATCCCAGTTTCTTCAATACTTCTATTTCCTTTTTGGTTACACCACATTGAGCCCAAGACTTAATTGGTTTTGGACAACCTTTTCCTTTCACACGAATTCCCTCCAATTCTTCTTTATAAGCGTCAACTTCTTCCGATGTCATTTTTGCTGTAAGTATGAAGTGAAATATGTCGTAATTAATTTTTAATTCGTCACTTTTTTCGAAGAATTTATAAAAATTTTAGAAAATAATTGAATTCTTTTGAAATTAACAAAGAATGTTATTATTTATAAAAATAATTGAATTCTTGCAAAGAATTTTATTAAAATTTTTAAAATTAATAAACAAGAATAATTAATTAGTAAATTAGTTAATAAATGATTTTTTTAAAGTTTGAATCTGAAATTATTCAAAAATTCATATTTAAAAATAAAAGCTTTTTTAATTTGCATAATAATAACAAATTGAATATCACGTTATTTTTGTGCATGTGGGATAAAAAAATTATTTTTACTTTGATCACTACGCGTGAAAATCGCGCATGAAGAAAATAAATGAATCTTACCAATTTCAGGTACTTCAACGTAAAATGATTTTCTGAAGGCTAAATATTCTGTTGTTGCGTGATCAACTTTAGCCAGTTCTCTTTTCTGCTTATTTGCAATACCAGCAGCTGTCTCATGTAGATTTTCTCCTTCTTCTTCACTGGAATATTCCAATCCATCTTGATTTTGCTCTATTAATTCACCTTTATGCTTTTGAACTTTTCTTTTAGCTACTCCAGTAACAATGAGTACACCAGTTGTTTGAGTAACTCCAGTATTTGGACCATTGTTGCTGGTCTTGGGGTTTTTATTATCCAATTTATTAACTTTTCTCACTTCTTCTTGTACCTATAAAATTTAGTGAGTATTATGCATAACTAAAATCTTCCTAGTTTTTAAGTATTCTATTAATTATTTTAATATTTTTAATTTTCTAATTTTGCCAGTCTTCAGTGTAGTGACTAATGTATTCATATTTTCGCGATAAAATCATTATTTTACATTATAAAAATATTGTTACTGTAATTTCTTCAAAATTATTTTCATAATTTCAATTGAATTACTATTTTCTAGAATTTTTATCTAAAATTCTTCATTAAATCAATTATTTGTAATAATTTTTAAAACAGATCTTTGAGAATTTTTAAATCCATTGGGTCACAATAATTTAATTTTACGAAATTTCGATTATTCGGAAATTCTTCAATTAAATATAATATTAGAAAAAACAACTTCAAATAATTCAAAAAAACTTAATTAAACTTTTTCAAAACTAATAGAATTGTTAGTTAAAAGTCTAAAAAAATTCAGATTTTGAAAGATTTTAATTTGAAACTTTTTCAAAATGTAGTTACTCCTAAAAATTCATGCATTTAATATTTAATTATTATCTAAAATTTCAAATGAAATTAATTTTTAAATCAATTTTTATGAGAAAATTCTACGAGAATTCAATTATTTAAATACAAAAATAAGAATAATATTTTAATATCAATTTACATAATAGAATTCTTTTGCCGAATTTTAATAAAATTTTAAAGAATAATTACATTTTTCGAGGAATTTTTTGTTTTTAAATTTGTAAATTTTAATAATAAATAGTAATTTTCACTAATTTATTAGTAACTTTTACTTATTCCAAAGCAAATTTTTACTAATAAATTAGTAGCAATTACTATTGATTAGTAAAATTTGCTAATTCAAAAGCAAGAAACACGTTTTTTTGAACATTTTTCAAGTAATATAAGTAAATCAATTCACAATTAAAACTATATTAAAAATAATTAAATTTTTTAAAAGAATTTTATTAAAAATTCTAGAAATAATTCAATTCTTCCAAGAAAGTACCTATTAAAATTGCATTTGAAAATAATGAAATTTTTTGCGAAGAAATTTATTATATTTATAAAAATAATTGAATTCTTTCAAGGAATTTTATTAATATTTGCGAAAATAATTTAATTGTTTAAAAAAATTTTAGTGAAATTTTTGAAAATAAATGGATTTTTTTTAGAAATTGAATTCGGGCAAAAAATTTTGTAATTTATAAAAATAATTAAATTCTTTCGAGGAATTCAATTCAAATTGAATATTGGAAATAATTTAATTCTCGTAAACAATTTTATCAACAAATGTTTAAATAATTGAATTCTTTTGACGAATTTTAATAAAAATTTCTAAGAATAATTACATTTTTGGAGAAATTTGATTAAAATTGTATTAAAAGTAATGGAAATTCTGCGATGAGTTTTATTATTTAAAGAATTAATTGAATTCCTAAAAATAATTTTATTATTAATGGAAATAATTGAATCTCATCTTTTAAAAATTTTATGATTTATGAAAATAATGGAATTATTATTCCGAAGAAACTTATAAAAAATTTGTAAATAATTGAATTCTTATGAAATTTTTATTATTTATAAAAACATTTAAATATTCGACGAGAATTTAAAAAAATTTTAGGACATAATTGAATTTTTGCAAAGAATTTTATTACTTTTGAAAATAATTGAATTTCTGCAATAATTTGCAACTTCTCCAACATTCAATTTTTTTTAGTATTTTTAACTAAAATTCCCCTATAAATCCATTATTTATAATAATTGATTAAATATATAATAAAAAATTGAACTAATTTTAGAAGAATTGGAATATTATTGAAATTTTTCAAAAATCTAAGTTCATTAAAATTTCTAATTAAATTCATTAAAAATTGAAATTATATATGTAAAATTTCAAATTAAAACCTTTTTGAAAAACAAAAAACAGACACAAAAATTTTAAATTTTCTTATGAATTTTTAAAATTTAATTTTTCCAGTACTTTTAATAAAATTCCCTGACTTCCCTGATCTGTGGCAACCCTGTTATGTTTATCTATTATGCATATGTTTTTGCATCAAATAAATTTGATCAGAGTACCAAACACTAGGTTTTAGTATAAAAGTATATAAAAAATAGTATCATTATTTACTAGTCGATTTAAGTTAATAAGAGAGTTATTTACTGGTTTATAAAAATGTAAAAAAACAAATCGTACCTCAGCCATAAAAGCATCTAGTGGATCAACTTCCTCTGCTTTACTTTCTTCAGCAGGTACTGCTGAATCTTCTTTCGGTTCGTCTTCATCTTCTTTGCTTTCTTTATTATTATTCGCTTGTGTAACTGGGGTATCCTCATCGCTGTCGTCTTCTAAAGACCATTTCTTTGAAGGTATTTGTATATTAGCTAGAATAGAAGATTTTCCATCTTTTCTAGTTGCCTCTTGTTCTTTCTTTTTTCTATCTGCTCTCCATCTTTCTATTCGTTCTCGTCTTTTTTGCATTTCCAGTTCCAATCTCTTTTGTTCCTCTTCCTGTTTAATCAATGAAAATATAAAAATATTTTATTTAATTTTTGCACAATGATTTTTAATAAAAAAGTGGTTATTTCTTTAATCCCTTTCCAGTGCAATAAAAGTAAAGTTTTCGTGCCGAAAATGTGTAGAAAAAATTTTAAAAACGATATTACCAGAATGCATGTTTTTAGTGTCACTGAATTCAAATCTGAAGCCAAAATTCAAAATAGCGACTTCAAAATGTGAACCGAAACGTATTTAATTCAACTACATATTCGGATTCAGTGACTCCAAAAACCTCCAAGTAAACTTTTTTTTCAATATTAGTTGAATTTAAACTTTCGGTAAACAGAAAGTTTGGGTAAATGTATTTCACTTACAAGCGTATCTTAAAAACTTTATTATTTAAAAACAACTATAATTACCTTGTCAAGATTTAATGGATCAAATGGTAACTCCTCATTATCCCATTTTTCTTTATCCTTCCGCTCACGGGAACGAGATCTATTGGTTCGTTCTTTCCCTAAACGAGAAGATTTTGAACTGCTAACACGTTTTTCTTTGTTATCTCCACTATAACTTATAAAAATATTTAATTTAAATTCCTGAGTTTAATAACATTGGTTTCTAAACTTATATTTTTAAATTTAAAACGAGGACTTTTTCAAAATTTCAGCTAATAAAAATTTTAAAAAATACGCAAATGGATCAAATATGAAAGCAGATTAAATGCCTTACAATGAGTCCTACAATTTAAAAGAATTTCATCTCTGCAGCTTTTATGAAACCTAAGATATTTATGAAAATGTGATTTTTTGATTCAGGAAGTAATAAAACATAAATAAAAATGAAAACATCAAATTTCAAAATTTTGAATAAAACAATGCTTTAATGAGGAAAATTAAAAAATGTCTATGCTGAAAACAACAAGGTGGCTATAGTTGTAACCGATTTTGTTGAAATGAAAAGGATTTATTGTTAAATTAGAAATAAGTCCAAACTTAACCCTAATAGAGTAAATTTGTTAGAGGCAAATAGTTAAAATAACAGGGATTTTCATTTGAAATAAAATTGGCCGCACTAGTTATAATGATCAAAATAAAGACAAAAATATAATAAAAAGTCCAATTAAAAATATGATATTAATAAATTCATCTTACCTTTTTTTGTCTCTGTCATGTCGTTCTCGTCTTTCATTCCTATCCCTATCACGTTCTTTAGAACGACTTTTTCTGTCCCTATGTCTTCCTTTTTCTCGATCTCTACTCCTTGATCGCCTTCGTCTTTTTTCTGGAGTATTAGAACGAGATTTCGATCTGGATCTAGACCGCCTCCTATGGTGCCTATCCCTGAATTTCATAAAAATGTATTATGAGGAGGTTCCCATTTCAAAGCTTCAAAAAGCTTCAAAAAGCTTCAAAAAGAAACAGATTAGAATGACATTAAATTTGTTGTTGTTGGAAGTGGTCTTTTTTGGATCACATAGCCGGCTGTTGCTCTATTTTCTAACTGTAATTGAATATAATAATCCATACCTAATAGTGCGCTATTAATTTAAGTTAATTTAAGTTAAATTTTATTGATTCATTAATAAAGATTCTGCTAAAAAATAGCTTGAATTTAACTGGTTAAAGTAGTAGTCTAAAAACAATGCCCAACAATTTGCATTAACTTAGTAGACCAAGCGCATTTTTTGTTATAAAACTTTTAAGGCAACAAAAACAGAATTTTTTCATGTTTTTTGAGGAATGCTACTTCCAGTTAAACTTTGGGCAAAAAAGTTGTTATTAACAGTTGTAGAGCTTAAAAGAGCTAAAAAAAATGAGAGGTTGAACGATTTTTAAAAATAATTTATTTACGAGTTATTAAATTAAAATGATTAAAATCAAACGAGTTTTCAATGTATAATAATTTAAGTAATTTTTATTTAATCTAACTGAAATAAAATAATTAAAAAAGAATAACTAGGTGAAATAACTGCTCCTGGGACCCTTAGTAGCAAAATTTTCACGAACTTCGTTTGAATAATTTTATTTTCAGTTAAATCAATTTTTTTCCTTTATTTCATCATTCGCAGCATATTTCAACGAGAAATTTCATTTTTGTTTCATTACATGCCAAACCAACATATCGTCCAAATTCGCATTTTAGATTTGGCTCAAACATTTTTTAGATTTCAGTACTAGTTGAAAAAGAGCTTCATGATTTTTTTCAAATTCTTTTATCCAGCCGTTTACAAGATACGAATTTTTCAAAATTTTACGTTTTGAAAAAAAAATTTTGAATGCTCATAACTTCTACAAATGTGGATCAATTTTAAACTTTCTTATATTATGAAAATTGTGTGTTTTTTCATGAACTTTTCAAAAATTTTATGAAAACAGTTTTTCAAAAATTTTTTACCGCCTTTTCTTAAATTTTTAATTTAAAATTTAATTAATTAATAATTAATAATTTTGATAAATTCTAAAACAATAGTAAAAATCGAAGGATACAAACAAATTTAAAAATTAAATTTTAATCTAAAAATTTTAAAAAAGGCAGTAAAAAAATTTTGAAAAATTTTTTTCATAAAATTTTTGAAAAGTTTATAAAAAACACACAATTAATAATACTATTAATAACAAATTAAGCTATTCAGTCTTTTTTCTTTATTGAATCACATTTTAAGTTTTTTTCTGGTTTTTCACATGCAGCCTCCTTTCTGTTCGTTTACGAATTTGCAACAGGAAATTCCGATAGGAAATCTCGCTTGTAATTTTTTTTATCAAAAATTATAGATGAATGTTTTTGAAATTTGACGGGAAAAATAGTTTTTATAATGAGTTAAAACTTTCCACCACATTTGACTAAAAAGATCGTCAAGACAATTTCAATTATTTTTTAGCTTTCCCGGTCGGTGTTAATCCGATGTCCAGAATATTTTTGATTAACTTCGTCAAAAAGAATTCAGGAAGAATTTGAAAATTTACCTTCTAGGACAATGCTCATACAAATATGTAAAAACATTCTGTGAAATTTATTCAGGAAGATGTTTTTGAACGTTCCAAGAACATTAAGTTACAATTTTTAACCTCTGATAACATAAATTAACAAATTGTCATCAATAACCTTATCGTTTTCTTACAATTTGTGTCATAAAGTGAAATTTTTTGGAAAATAAAAAAATTTCCTAAGTAGTGAACCTTAGAAAAAACACTTTAAATTCTCAAGCTACCTTGAAATAATAAAATCTTACTTGTTCTGTTGTCAAAAACATTGTTTTTTTACTTGTTTATACAATAAGTACTTATGGGTAAGTACTTTTAAGTAATTTAATAATAATTAAAAATTAATTAAATATCAATTTAAGTAATTTTATATCAAAAAGTACTTTTAAAAAAATTATTCCAAAAATTAAAAAGTCTTTCTATCCATTAAATATGCAAAAAATGTCTTGCTCAGTGACACTTTGAAAAATCAAGTAATATAAATTCGAAGATATTTTTCCAAACATTTTAAAAAATACGCATTGAATACATTTAAAACAAGTATTAGTTAATTAGTAATTTAATTTATTAGTATTAAAATTTTACGAACTCTGAAATCAATGATACCAAAAAACATTTTTTCGATGACCGTTATTTTCCATGGCATTTTAGAAAAAAAGGTGTTATTGAAAGTTGTAAAGTTCGGAAATATCTTTAAAATGACTGGTCGTAAATTAAAATTGGTCTATTTGTTTACATGCAAATGAATTAAATCCTCTAAAAATTGCACTTTTTTAATTGTTTAATAACTCATACAAATGTTAACAAATTCTTTTTTTATTCTCCAAAATACCACCTCTGGGATCCTTAAAAAACGTACCAAAACTGGATCTAATCGGATAAAAATAGTTTATGGAAAATTGCATTTGTTAACTAAAAACATCGTTTTTTAAAATAGAATTTCTACATTTTTGATCCGATGAAAATCAATTTTTTTGTCTTTGTTCTCTTCATGAAATGCCAATCTATCAGTCACAATTTGTGGTTAATTGAAGTTTTGCAAAAAAACTGGTTTTTTTAGAGGGGCTAATTTTTATATATAAATATAAATAATTATAAAATTTTAAAAATAATTAAACTCAGTAGCGACAATATTAACTTTAAAAATTTGGGATAAACGCCATTCAAATAGATATTATATTTTTTTTTGCAAATTTTCAAAAAAAAACATTGATCTAGCATTAAAGAAGTGGGAGAAAATTGTATTAAAAAAATCCTGGGCCTTTGTTTATTAATATTTTTTCTTGTTTCTTCGATAATTTATTAGTATATTAGTTATATTATTCTTTAAAAAATTTGCAAATATATAATTGTTAAAAATTTATTTATTTCTCATAATTTTTATGAAATCTAATTATTATTTAAAATAATTATTGTTTTTTATATTTCTCAAATAACAATAAATTTAAATCCTTGATTTATTTATTTTACATAATTTTAATGTAAAGAAAGTTTTATTTCTTATGATTTTTATTTCATAGAATTATTATTCAATATGTATTAATTTTAATGCCATCGAAAACATGATTCACAGAATATTCTGTGCAAACAACAAATTAAATGACAAGTAGGGGAAGCTAATAAACAGCCGCTTAGGGCCGTTGGGTGTGCTTTTAAAAATATGGATCCTTAACCTATATTTATACGTTCAACGCACTTACTTTTGTAGTATGTTTAACATAACATGTAATAATAACATTTTAATTTTTCACATTTTTGTACTTACTTATCACTGCTTCGTACCATAATTTAAGTCAAGTTATGACTATTATTTTCTTAGACTGTAATTATAAACAGTAAGAAGTTTTCACAAAATTCCCAAATCTTAAAAAATCCCATAAATAATAATAAATAGATATAACTGTTTTAGTTTAAATGCTTAAACATATCAAAGTTACAAATTTTAAAAAACATTATTGCAATTGCAGACACTACTTCACAATTTTATGAAGGTTAAGGATACAATGCAAACACACATTGAAAATTGTAAAGGTCAATGCACAACACAAATACTTGGCGAACAACTAAGGCTGAAGTCCCATGGCAGCGTTTTGCGTTTTGTAACTAGGCAATGAGTGCAAATAGAGTAAACCTATATCTGTATCTCTCTCACACTCATGGCCTAGTTACAAAACGCAACGCAAAACGCTGTCATGGGACTCCAGCCTCAGGCGGTGTTTACATGCTTGCGTTCGAAACTTCGAACGCTGCGTTTTGCAGAGAGTGCAACAAGGAAAGAAGTATATGTCTTTCTTTCTCTCTCTCATGATTCAACGAAAAACGCAGCCAGCATGTAAACACCGCCGCCTAATTCAATAGTGAAATTTAAAGGCGCACTCACACCTTTGGAGGCTGACAAAACGAGAGTAAGGGTGCGATCCCATGTGAGCAGAATACGTCGACCGAAAGCAGAAAATCATGAGTGCAAAAGAGATAGGTAGATATTGTTGTTCTTTTCACTCTCATGATTTTCTGCTTTCGGTCGACGTATTCTGCATACATGGGATCGCACCCTAAGAGAGAGAAAACATATAAATTTACATTGTCTGACTTTCTTACTCTTATGTGTAACCATGACAACTCCTAGACAGGCAGCCACTGCTCCTTTATGGTGCACTCACACCTTTGGTGGCTGCCTGCAGGTTGTTATGGTAACACATAAGAGTAAGAGAGGTTACAATTCCAATTATATGTTTTCTCTCTTTTACTCTAGTTGCGGCTGCCTGCTTATTCTTGTTCTTATTTTTAATTGTAAAATTTTTATGTATTTTTTGTCGATAATATGCCAATTTCTTTAGGGATTAATTTATTATTATTAATTTAAATAGGAAATTATAGAAAAAGGGAAACATTAGGTTGAGTGAACAAAATTCACTTACAAGTAGTAAGGGAGCATTTACACCTTCGGTAAAAATTTTCAGAACGGAAAATTTTTCATTGGAGTAAGAGAGACAGACTGTGTATCTGACTCTCTTACTCCAATGCAAATTTTCCTTTCTGCACGGAGAGAAAAATCAAGCGTTTGTAGTATGGACAGTTAGTTAAGCTTATTTCGTAAAAGAATGCACATGCGCAATTGGGAACCGCAGAGCTGCGTAGACCCTCTGGTGTCGACCCACTTGCGGTAGTTGTCTTTTCATTTCGTCTCTCTCTAACATATGTAAAAAAAGAGATAAAAAACCAAGATGTCGGACGCAAGTGGGTACAGGGGTGGGTCAGTTTCACATGATTTCGGATCCCAATATGCGTAAAACTTCTGCTGTATTTGTATAAATTTCTACGTTATCAGCATAAAAGTTCTACCTGTAACGCATGGGACGTCAGTATACTACGATTGCAAGAGATCCATGCTTTTTTAGTATATGTTTCATGCAACTGAGGTATAAAAACATGCCTCTTTAGCAGGACGTTCATACAAAATTAGCATAGGAAGTCTCCATACTACAAACGCTTGATTTTTCTCTCCGTGTGTGGACAATTTTTACAGAAGGTGTAAACGCTCCATAGTAGAGTAAATACAAAAAATATAGTAGAAAGTACAAATATATAATGGAAGGTCAGGGTTGCCACGCTTTGGCTCTTTTCAAATTCCCTGACTTTTCCAGGTTTTTAAGAGCATTTGAGCCATTATGACGTCACAGGTGTAGAATACATGCTTTGTAAACTATGTGACGTCATCATGTTTCAAATGTCCTTAAAACGAAAATTATTCGAAAACATCAATAACTTAATTTTTAAATAAACATTTAATCATTATTTTTTTATAGAAATTAAGATATTCAAAAATTTGAAATTCAATAACATATAAGAATATTATTATAAAACTTCCTCCTTTTGTTATTGTAACTTATTCTTCAAAAATTATTTTCATTATTACAATTATTCATTTCTAGAATTTTCAACTAAAATTCTTCTTTAAGTCAATTTTTTAAAAATAATTTTTAAAAAAGTTCTTTGTTCAATTTCTTCTTTTTCAAATTTTTTTGTTTAAAATTTAATTTTACGAAATTTTGATTATTCTAACATTCTTTAATTAAATATCACGGAGTAATAATAAGGAGACTGCTCTCCAGCGTATCCCCTAGTCAAACTGGTGCCAGATTTCTGCCTTGGTTCACTGAGTAGTAATGACTTTTAAAAAATAACGCGCATGTGCAGTTTGCAACTATCTTCGTCACTCTTGAAAGAACGATGAGAGAGATCATTATTTTGACGTGCGAGTTGGAAAGTGTGGTTATGTTTTACTGTTGACAATATATATTATACTATTAAATAATATTAATAAATTGTAATATAGGAAATGTGTGAGTAGATATTAATTATATTAGCATTATAGCGATTATAGCATTATATTATATTGTATTCATTCACTTTATCATACAAAGAAAAGAATTACTCCGGTTCGACAAAAATAATCTTTTTATAAATATCTACTCACACCTATATTACAATTTATTAATATTATAATATATTGTACTTACTCTTCTCTTTGCAGTTTGTTAATTGATATTTTTTCTTATTTAAATGTTGATTTTCCCGTATAGTTGCTGTTGTCAACAATAAAACATAACCACACTTTCTAACTCGCACGTCAAAATAATGATCTCTCTCATCGTTCTTTCAAGAGTGACGAAGAAAGTTGCAAACTGCGCATGCGCTTTATTTTTGAGAAGTCTTTACTACTCAGTGAACCAAGGCAGACATTTGGCACGGTATCTCACTGGTAGTACAGTCTCCTTATTATTACTCCGTGTTAAATATATTAGAAATTCCCAGATAACAATCGTGCGTCGCATTTAAACGCATGTTTCTTGCACTAACTGCGACTTACCAGATGAGTCGGTTCATATACGCATCTTACTATCGTCTGTGACGCTGGTAATAATGCGAGTGTTGTGAACTGCATTTCGTAAGCGCCTGTGATACAAAATGATAAGCATGTTCCGTTCACAAGTGCGACTCGCTAGAAGAGTCAATCCATACGCATTTTACCATCCACAGTGCGAATGCTGTGAATGCGTGTGCAGTGAACTGCACTTAATACGCACGCAATTAATGATGCACAACCACCCGTATCGGCAATCACACATTTTATAATGGCGACAGCATTGTTTGTGGTGTGTTATCAAAATAAGTTTTTATTGTGATTTCATTTTTTATTGTTTTTTATTGCGATATTATTGTGAGGAATTATTGTGGATTTAATTTTTAGTACTGCAGCAAAATAAGAAAGTTAAATTTAATTTGTTTAAAGTACATATATATTTTTGTTGTATTAGATATAACCTCAAAAAAAGAATTTGGAAGTTTTTAACAATTTCAATTCCAAAATTGTACTGAAATATTAAATTAAAATCGTTTTTATAAATAACATTTTAATTTAAAAAAAATTACTAATGTCAATAATCTTTTCTTTTTATTTAATTCAAATAAGGCTGAAGTATAAATATAATTTATTCGCATTATACCGTCACGCATGTGCCCATCACAATATGCGACAGTAATGGATCGCATATGATGACGCATCTGAGTGGTCCAGTGAACGCGCATAGTGCGGATAAATCGGCACGCGTGCAGATGATATTAGTAGCACACAACGCGCATTTTGTTATCTGGGATTAAAATCTTCAAATAATTAAAAAAAACTACATTAAACTTATTGAGAAAAATTAATTCATTTATTAAAAGTATGAAAAGTTCAAATTTTCAAAGATTTTAATTTGAAAGCATGAAGTAAAATATATGTCGTTATTAATATTTATTCGTCGCTTTTTTCGAAGAATTTATAAAAATTTTAGAAAATAATTGAATTCTTTTGAAAATATTTTTAACGAATTAAGAAAATTTTTTTTGAAAATAATTAACCTTTTGCGAAGAATTTTACCATTTAATTAAAAGTTTTGAAAATATTTGAATAGTAGAGAAAAATTTTATTATTTATAAAGATAACTTTTTAAAAATAAATATTTTATTAAGCAATTGAATGTTTCTTAAAATTGAATTTTCATAAGGAATTTTATTAACAAATTTTTAAATAATTGAATTCTCCTGACAAATTTTAATAAAATTTTTAAGAATAATTGCATTTTTCGAGAAATTTGATGAAAATTGTATTTTAAGAATAATTAAAATTCTGCCAAGAATTTTATTAAAAATTTTGAAAATCATTGAATTTCAGAGAAAACTTTTATTATTTATAAAGATAATTGAAATTTTTACGAGAATTTTTGTAAATTTTTAAACATATTTGGATTTTTGCGTAGAATTTTATTAAAATTTTGTTTAACTAATTGAATTCTTTTAGGAATTTTTATTAAAGTAGTAAATATTAAAAATCATTGAATTGAGGAAAGTTTTTGAAAATAATTAAAATTTTAACAAGAATTATATTAAAATTTTTGAAAATAATTGAATTTCTGAGAAGAATTTCACTACTTTTGAAAATAATTGAATTTTTGCAATCATTTGTAATTGCTTCAAAATTCAATTTGTTTTAGTGTTTTTAACTAAAATTCTTCTATAAACTCATTATTTTTAATAATTAATTAATTAAATATATATTGACAAAATTTAACTTACATTTCAGAAGAATTTTCGTTTTAAAAATTTTTATTTAAATTCATTTAAAACTGAAATTTTACAAAATTTCAAATTAAAATTTTTTGTAATTCATCTACTTATGAAAATTGTAAACGCAATTATTTTAAAATTGAATTAATTTTGAAATATTTAAGTGAAATTAGATTTCAAGAATAAACAGAATAACTTTAGAAAACAACAATTGAAGGGCTACATAAAATAAGGGGACGAACGCGAGGCTTGGAGGGATACTACCAGTCGGGTAGCAGTGACAAGCCTTGAGCCGCTCGCTGCTACCTGACTGATATTATCCCTTTCAACCACACGTTCGTCCCCTTATTTTATGTAGCCCTTCAATTTTCCTATATTTCGATAAAAATTCCGACTTTTCCAGGTTTTTTCAAGGTTTATAAAATTCCCTGAAATCTCCAGGTTTATTACAAGGTTTCCAGGTTGAGTAGCATCCCTGAAGGTACAAAAATTGGTGCAGTAGAAGAAATAAATTGATAACAAAAAGCATTTCGTTCAATATTTTAATCTAATTGAATTAAAAAGATGTAGAAACTGGAAGCATGAGATAATATAGTGAAATTTCACATTTGTTTTCATCGTAAATATAATTATAATATAAGTGTTAATATATATAACTTTTTTCTTATAGTGTGAAAATTAAGAAAATGCTGATAATAATTTTCTTAGATCGCCCATTGAAAGATATTGTAAAATTTTTTCTATATCAATTCTTGAAAATTGAATTCTAAAATTCCCTTTAATGTAATGAAGCAAACAATTCGTTGACATGTCAATAACATCAATTTTACTCTTTGCTTTCTTAATACGTAATTTTAGAAAATTTGCATAAGCGGGAAATTTATCGTACGACTTTTCAATGGCGTTTAATAATGTCTCATCTCTTATGCACCTCGTAATTATATCAAAAGGCTTTATCAAAATATCGTAGAAAGTTAAATTGAATTCGTCGACAACTTTTGTTTTCTGCATATTTATTATTTGTAGTCGACATTCATTTTGAAATTTTTGAATTTTTGTTACATCTTCTCTTGAATGAAAATATTCAATTATTCTTTTGTCACTGGGTGCTAATAATTCGAGACGTCCAACTATCAACTTTAAAAGTTTATTATTTTCTTCAAATAGATCACTCGAATATACGTTCTCTTGTGTGATATGCAAAAGCTTGTTGGCGTCCTCTATTTCATTGACTATAAATAAATCACTCCAATCATTTTCAGAAAAAAGGAATTTGTTTGGGAGAAATTTAATATCGTAGTATTCGCTAATAATTTCAAAAATACTTGAATTATAAATATACCTTAACTGTGAATCCACAACAACTGCAAGTAAATCTTCTTCTAAATAATGAAGAATGTATCTAACAATTGCAATACGAAATTCCTCATTTTTTTCCTTAATGTTCACAGTCTCTTTATTGTCATTGACAGAAGTTTGTTCATTCCCGCCAGAAATTCTTAAATTAATGACTGTATACAATAAATCATTTATAATGCACTCGTTCTTTTCCTTGAGATCTCCAGCAATTAATAACAACTCTGTTATTTTTAATATATTTTGAAACATTGAAGGTGTAATTGTTGATTTGGTTTTATGTAGTACATATTTTAGTGTTGGACTCTCTCTGTTTTTAGAGGGCTTAGCACCAGAGGCTAAGAGAAATTTAACCATATTAAAATGTCCCACAGTTGCTGCAAAATCCAATGGAAGAATATAACCTTTTGTTGCTGCATTAATTTGTGCACCATGATTCAGAAGAATTTCAACTAAACGTGTATGTTCGAAGGTAGCTGCGATATGGAGAGGAGTTAAATTGTGACCAAAACAACTGTCGACTGAACAACCTGCTTCTAGGAGAATTTTTAAAATTTCTTCATTTCCGTTTTCAACAGCAATGTAAACTGCGAATTGTCCCAATTCTTCAGCTAGAGACTTCAACTCTACTTTGTTGAGGATTTCTTTCACATTTTCGATTTGATTCGCACGTACGGCGGAATGAAGTTCAGTTTCCTGGGAGCATAATTCAGCTTCAATTTTCGAATAACAGGTTAATAGGTATCTCCAAATTTTCAATTCGCCTCTTATAAATCATAAATGAAGTAGATTGCAGTCATTATAATGGAGATTTTGTTTGAAACCGAAATCAAGTAGACACTTCAAGATATCTGTATGTTCATCTCTTGTACATAAATGGATGAGAGAATTTTTTGTATTTACTTTTGATCCATGATATTCAAGCAGATATTTCACAATGTTTAAATGACGATTAGATACTGCCGAACGTAGTGGTGTTAAATATTCATAAGTTTTTGAATCAAACTTGTCAAATATATTCGACTTTAATAATTTGACTATTTCTAAATTTCCAACTCTAGCAGCAATGTCCATTGATTTCCAGAAAGATGGATAATTTGATTTATTCACATTGACACTTTTTTTTAAAAGACTTTCGACAATTTGAATACTCTGCCTTGCAATCGCGATATTAAGTATCTTTATGCTGTCTTTACTTGGAATATCCAGACAGGTACCATTTTTCAAAAGAAATTCGGCTACTTCAAATTTAGATTCGTGTAAGGCAATGAAAAAGGGTGTTCTTCGTCCGGAATCCTTGGCATTAATTTTAGCACCTTTTTTTCTCAGCAAATCAACAATCTGTAGGTGTCCTCGTGCTGCTGCCACGTGCAACATTCTTTTGCCCAATACAGTTTCCTCTAAATTATTTTTATTTAGTAGAATACTTAAACGATTTAAATCACCATTGTGAACGGCAAGAAAAATAGGTGTGTACCGTTGAGTATTATGGTATTGTCTACAACCATAATCATAATCGCCGTTACTATCATAGTAATTTCCACCGTCATAAAACTCCTCATCTTCCTCATAGTCCCACATTTTTCATTCACCTGAACTTAATAAAAACTATCTTTTGGTTCTGTTTATACACACTTAGCGATGTCAAATTCTACACAAATCTCGCCGCAACTGTTTCTATTACATCTGAAAGATTTGAATTTTATCCATTAAACTTTCACTGCACTTTTATTAGTCAAATATAATATGTACTTTGAAGTTAAAATATAATTTTTATAATACATACCCAATTGTTGATTTTTCAAAATATTGTCGCCCTCAAAATGTACTACATAACACAAAGGAATCACTTTTATAGACTTGTAAAGTAAATCTAAAACAAAATTGAAATAATCTGTATTACTTAACATTATTTTATAACTAGCAAAGATTAGAATAAATATAGAATTTACATAAATTCGTAAACACGGAGAAGAAATTTAGGTTATACCAACCGGAGACCCAGGTTGTATAAAAACTACTTGACACACTGTAAAAAATGATTTTTTGAGAATTTACTAATGAATTGTAAGGTTACAAGGATTTCTGTGAATTGACAATGTTGGATGACGTAGTTTGAAAGCAAACCATTTGGAATAAAGCAAAGTCTAACGTTGTAATTTTACAAAAATTTGTAAGGTTACAACGTTGGACGTAGGACATATTTCGAGTCACGTGAGACGTTGTAAACTTACAAATTTTTGTAAAATTACAACGTTAGACGAAGCTTTATCCCAAATTGTTTGCTTTCATACTACACAGAAATCCTTGTAACCTTACAATTCATTAGTAAATTCTCAAAAACTTATTTTTTACAGTGCAGACACAGGCGTTAACATAACCTCTGATACTACCCAAGTCAGCACAATTTGACTGCCAGGCGCAGTTTTGGCTTGGCTGCCTCAAGTAGTTTCAATGGCTGGATCAATATCAGTAGTAAATTGAATGAGAAAAACGTCGCTGTTTATACTCGATTTGTAGAAATCTATGCTAAAAGAGTAGAGATCTATACTCTTTTAGCAAATCTACAAATCGAGTATAAACAGCGCCGTCCTTTTTAAGTATAGACCATGTCCATACTACGATGAACGCTTGATTTTTCTCTTCGTGTATAGACGCAACTGGAGAGCCAAAAGTCAACGGCTTGGCTCTCCGGTTATTTTGACTTCATAAAATTAGCATGACGACTCAAAAGAAAGCGCGCAGTTACGACTTTTTTTTTCTCTCCGCGTATATTTTCACAAATTTACAATTATTTTTTATTTCTAATCAAATAAATAATAAAATAAAATGCATCAAATGTCTATTTAGATTAATCGAGAAATGTGTAAATTTACAAATTGACATGTGCGAACTTTAATTGTAATTTAAAGAATGATGATTTAAACATTTAAAGTACAATTTTGAGGTTAGAAAGTATATTTGAGGATTATGTTTCTGACACTCTCACATCAACATCACAAGTATACCTAAAATATACTTGGAACTTATCTTAAAATAAGAAAATTATTATTACTTGATGCAATAAATGTTTAAAAATAAGAAAAGTATTATTTTTAAGAAAATAAACAATACATACATGATTCGATGATACTAGAGTTCCTATAATTAAATTAAGAACACATGTACATTCCGATAAAGTAGATTTCTATCAAAAAAGTTTTCGGCAATATTCAGATTCTATTTAATTACGCTTCCGTAAAATTACAATTCTACGAAAAACGATTCGCATAATTGATATTCAGTTAAATTAGATTTATGTCAAATTGAAACACGATCAAAATGGCTTTCCGCCAAATTATAATTCGGACGAATAAATATTTTACTAAATTAAAATTCTTGTTACTTTTCCTTCTAATAAATTAATATTCTTTTAAATTTCTATTCAGTTTAATTTAAATTCGGCCAAGAAACTTTTCGCAACAATTAAAATTCAATCATATTTAATTTGTCTTAGGTATTACTATTCTTGCGTATATAAAAATTCTGTAACATTGATAATCGATTTAATGGAAATTCTGCTAAGCTAACATTCTAACAATTATATATTCTGTTAAAAAGTTAAAATTATTATCCTAGAGAATAAAATTCTAGGAAATAAAAATTCTAACAAATCCACTTTAGGGCCTTTTCATGCGCTCCGAAATTTTAGGGGTGTTTAAGGTCATGTTATTCAGTGGTCACGTGTTCCCATAGTAAAGTATATGGAGCACGTGACCATTGAATAACATGACCTTAAAGGTACACTCTCACCTCACTAAGAGTGAGAGAGAAAAAACATTTAATTTGAATTTTCTGACTCTCTTACTCTTATGTGTTACCATGTCAACCTGCAGGCAGGCAGGCAGGCAGGCAGTAGGAGCTGTGCTAGCGCCTTTAAGGCGGTTCCAGAATAGGTGCAAAAGGCAAGAAGTGCAAGTGCGAACCAATGCTAAATGTATAGGAATCGCACTTGCACTTGGACTTGCTACCTGCCTTTGCACCTATTCTGGAACCGCCTTTAGTTGGGACGCATGATTATTCCCCAAATGTCATTTTTCCGAAATATCATTTTACCGAACTGCACTTTTGCGAATAGTCATTTTTGCGAAAAGCCAATTTTGCGAAATGTCACTTTTGCGAATTGTCATTTTTACGAAAATCTATTTTTGCGAATTGTCATTTTTGCGAATCGCAATTTTTACGAATTGTCAATTTTCTGAAAAGTCATTTTTGCGAGTCGCCATTTTTACGATTTGTCAATTTTTCGAAAACTCATTTTTGCGAATTGTCATTTTTGCGAATCGCCATTTTTACGATTTGTCAATTTTTCGAAAACTCATTTTTGCGAATTGTCATTTTTACGAAAAGACATTTTTGTGAAATGTCATTTTTGCGAAAAGCCATTTTTGCGAAAAGTCATTTTTACGAATTGCCATTTTTGCGAATTGTCATTTTTAAGAAATGTCACTTTTGCGAATTGTTACTTTTGCGAATCGCCATTTTTACGAATTGCCATTTTCACGAATTGTTATTTTTGCGAAAAGCTATTTTTGCGAATTGTCATTTTTGCGAATCGATATTTTTACGAATTGTCAATTTTCCGAAAAGTCATTTTTGCGAATCGCCATTTTTACGAATTGTCAATTTTCCGAAAAGTCATTTTTGCGAATTGTCATTTTTGCGAAAAATACAATAGTGGATTTATAGATACCTACAAGTTTCTATTGTATTTTTCGCAAAAATGACAATTCGCAAAAATGACTTTTCGGAAATTTGACAATTCGTAAAAATGTCGATTCGCAAAAATGACTTTTCGGAAAATTGACAATTCGCAAAAATGGCAATTCGTAAAAATGACTATTCGCAAAAATAGCTTTTCGCAAAAATGACATTTCACAAAAATGTCTTTTCGTAAAAATGACAATTCGCAAAAATGAGTTTTCGAAAAATTGACAAATCGCAAAAGTGACAATTCGCAAAAATGACATTTCTCAAAAATGACAATACGCAAAAATGTCAATTCGCAAAAATGACTTTTCGCAAAAATGACTAATCGTAAAAATGACATTTCAGAAAAATCTCTTTTCGCAAAAATGACATTTCACAAAAATGTCTTTTCGTAAAAATGACAATTCGCAAAAATGACTTTTCGGAAAATTGACAATTCGTAAAAATGGCGATTCGCAAAAATGACTTTTCGGAAAATTGACAATTCGTAAAAATTGCGATTCGAAAAAATGACAATTCGCAAAAATAGCTTTTCGAAAAAATGACAATTCGCAAAAGTGACATTTCGCAAAATTGTCTTTTCGCAAAATTTACTATTCGCAAAAGTGCAGTTCGGTAAAATGACATTTCGGAAAAATGACATTTAGGGAATAATCATGCGCCCCCCTTTAGTTATTCAATACATACAGTAGAGACTCCATTATCCGGACTAATGGATGCAGGCACTTGTCCGGATAATCGAGTAAAGTACGAATTAAACAAATTTTTGATTCATAATTTTATGTATTTATTTGCATATGGGCAATTCTACGTGAGATTTCAGTCGACCTCTTAAAATCGGCCAAAAATATTTTTTTTCTATTCTGTATTGAAAAAAAACAGATACGTATTTTTTTATTATTTTTTTGGAGGCCAAATTTTTGAGTTATGAATTTTCAAAATTTTCGCTTTTTAAATGTAGCTATATTTTTAATGTCAGATAACTCAAAAAATATTGCTTCTTTTCATTTTTTGACAAGAGAAAAAAAATTTTGTTTTTCTTTCTACTTTTGAATAATCATAACAAAAAAATTTTTTTTTCATTTTTTATTAAAAAAATAAAAAAAATTTTTAAACAAATTAATTTTTTTTAACTTTGGGTATGATAAATTTTTAATTTTCTTTTTCTAAAACATACCTGGAAATGATAAGAAGGTTTTGCAAAAAGTTTCAGAGTGGGCCTGACAAGTTTGATGGGTCCAAAAAAAAAATTAAGCTGTCCGTGCAGGTCGCACGCACGTGGCACAATGGGATTTTTTTACAATTTATTATTAAAAATTGTCTAGAGCCTACAAATTTTATCGGATTTTGATTATTATTGAATTTTTAGGCTCTAAACAATTTTTAATAATAAATTGTAAAAAAGTCCCATTGTGCCACGTGCGTGCGACCTGCACAGAGAGCTTAATTATTTTTTTGGACCCATCAAATTTGTCAGGCCCACTCTGAAACTTTTTGCAAAACCTTGTTATCATTTCCAGGTATGTTTTAGAAAAAGAAAATTAAAAATTTATCATACCCAAAGTTAAAAAAATTAATTTGTTTATAAAATTTTTTTATTTTTTTAATAAAAAATGAAAAAAATTTTTTTTTGTTATGATTATTCAAAAGTAGAGAGAAAAACAAAACTTTTTTTTTCTTGTCAAAAAATGAAAAGAAGCAATATTTTTTGAGTTATCTGACATTAAAAATATATCTTCATTTAAAAAACGAAAATTTTGAAAATTCATAACTCAAAAATTTGGCCTCCAAAAAAATAATAAAAAAATACGTATCTGTTTTTTTTCAATACAGAATAGAAAAAAAATATTTTTGGCCGATTTTAAGAGGTCAACTGAAATCTCACGTGGAATTGCCCATATGTATTAAAATAGGACTGAAACAAACTAAAACTTTTAAAGTCAACATTAATAAATATTTAGTTAGAAATATTTAAAAATATTTACATAAACATTTTCTTAAAATAATTAAAACACTTTAAAATGCAACATTCCGTGTTTGTTGGCGGGGAGAAATTTAAAATAGAAGTTAACGGCTTGAGACCTTATAAACTTTATATTACTACAAAAAAAAAATTTTTATTTTAAATTTGTCCGGATAATGGAGTCTCTACTGTACCATTTTTTTTAGTTTTTCGAGACGTACAAGTTAGGACAGGTCCGATTTAAAGTAATTTTTTACTTTCATAAAGTGTAATCTAATAGTTCTATATTTTACAGTAAAAAATACACGCCATTGAAAACTATAATTTATTAAAATAAAAATTATACATTAATTCCAAGCTCTTAATTATTAAAATTAATTTTCGATTTTATAGAATTAAGGACAATCCCATGTTTTTTCTTCTGTTTCTTCAAATGTGTTAGATGTTCGTGGTTGCCAGAGACCACTTCTAATAAAACGTTGAGCTGTTTCTTTATTCAAGTGCACCTTTCTATTCTGTTTATTGGTGACTTCCTTTGCACGAACCATTGCTTTTTTTAAACGATCATTTTCTGCCATTATTCGTTGTCTTTTTGGATCAACACCTAAAAGAATATGTTCATAAAATATTTTTTATTATTTAAAGAAACTATTGTTATATCCTAAAAATAGAATTGTGCCTATCCGTGACTGCATGCACTAATAAGTCACTAATTTTATTTATCGGATAATCCATTCATATTTATACATTTATTTATAAATGTTAAGCTTATCATCCATCTACAATGAATGAAGCTGAAATTAGAGCCCAATTATTCAGCACCCACTGAGTTTTGTAAATTATACTTTAACGTTGCAGAAAAGACCAAAAACTTTTATAGAAATATTTAAATTGGAAGTGAAGCAAGTATTTAAAAGCAATCAGCCCAAATGTACTGAAACTTTGCAATTCGAGTGTATTATTTAAGTCACAAACAGTAAAAAAATATTTATATTGTTTTGTGGTGTTAATAATCTGAACAAAAAATTAAACGCACTAAATTCTAACATTGAGTCTAAATTTCGTGATAACACTTTGAAATACATTTCAATAACATTTTGGTCATTATAGACTTCAGTGACACTGACGGGTTTAAAAAAACGTATATTACAGATTAGAAACTTACCTTCTAGTCGTAAATGCATCCAAACAAGACTGTTAAGACTGAAGGACATTAATAAATTATATTTAATTTTATCATTTTTAGAAAGTTCGTTATAAATTTGTGGATCATTTATTAATTTTAAAATATTCGCAATGTCATTCACAGAACTATCTACTCGTTCTAATTGATCTACGATTTCTTGATCTTTATTCAATTCTTCGAAGTTTAAATTCATCTTCATATTTGCAAAAAATTTGGAATCTTGACTCTGTAAAAAATATATATAAATGTTAGACTAAATAAATATTAAGATAAAATTTTTGTAAAGCACATAAGCAAATATTTATATTTATTTAATACTCTATACATTATACAAGGCACTAATTTTTAAAATAAGTGAACTGTCATAAAAAGATTGTTCTTATAGTCTTCTAAGAGAAATATTTTTTATTAAAACTGTGTATAGACAAATTTTGGTGGATTGAACTAAATACAAAGTGACCAAATTAAAATGGGTCTTTTCACATCAGAAATATCGTGATTTGCAAAGAGTAGACCGATTTTCACGAAACTTGGTGGGTTAATAGTTTTATATAAGAAAGTTAATTTTTCCAAATTATTTTTTTAACAAAATCAACATTGTAGAAGATACGCAATTTTAAAATTAATTAAAAAACTAATTTTTTTCTGTTAACTGACAAAGAATTAAATAATAACATTTTTTAATACCCTCTACTGTCAAGTAATCGAACTTTTGTTTTAAAAAAATTGCAGATTAAAATAATCCGTTTTAAAGATTTTATTCATTAAAAACCTCACGTTCACAAAATAGCCTCGGTTCAAGGTACTTTTAAAAATTGCAATAAAAATTTTAAAAGCATAATTATTTTAAAAATAAAACTTTAATTTGTTTTAAATTAAAACTGTAATTCTTTTAAAATTTAATTATTTTATAAAAATTTGAATTAAATTATTGGAAAACTTTTTCTTATATCTTCTGTGGAGAAAAATAAATCTTCACGAAACCTTTTAAACTTGATTTGTTTTAAAATTATATATTTATTTTAATTAAAATTTCCTTGGGCACTCTACTCATTAATTATTTAATAAATATGAAAAATGATATAAATTTAACCTGATTTTCATTAAATTTTAGTTTTCATGACTAGACTGAAGTTTGTTTTCTTTAAACGAACGATAAGGTGATGAACTTCAGTCTTATCTAGTCATGAAAACTAAAATTCAATGAAAATCAGATTAAATTTATATAATTTTTAATATTTATTAAATAATTAATAAGTAGAGTGCCCAAGGAAATTTCAATCAAAATAAATTTATAATTTTAAAACAAATCCAGTTTAAAAGGTTTCGTGAAGATTCCTTTTTCTCCACAGAAGATATAAGAAAAAGAAAATGATGTTTATTTTACTGTGCAAAAACATATATATTTAAAATAAAAAAAACAGTATGTATAATCTATTTTTAATAATTTATACTTAGTTTTCGAAAAATGGGTTATGTTAGACTGCATAACCAGTTAAAAATTTAAAAACAAATTATTTAAAAGAATGTAAAATATATTTGATGCTATAAACCACTAAAAGATAATCTAATTGTATTGAAGAATATTAAATATTTATGATATTTGAAAATCATCGAGCAACCAGCTCTAGACGATTTAAGCTGGCATTCCATATTTTAAAAATTTAATTAGTAAAATCATTCAAAAATAATTTTTAAAAGATTTGTCTATAGTTATACTTTTTAAAATTTTATTGCAATGAAAGAAAAATTTTATACTAAAAGAAAATAATAAGTAAAAATAATTTTTTCAAAACATTGTTTAAAAATGTAAACAAAAAGCACATGACATAACCACGCTTTGAATTTCTAACGCACAAACCAAAGAAAAATATAAGAAAATAGTGCATAAACATTTGAATAACGTATTAATCTAAATAATAATTATTTAAATCAATGCTCTAAGTGAACGTATATATTCCTACAATGATTTTATATTTAGAAAATTTGTTAACTAGGAAGCAAGACTTTTAAGGTTATCTGTCTACAAAGTCTAATATTGAAAGAAATACAGACTATTTAAATAATTCGACAATGTTATCAGTAGCTAAATATAATATATGATTCAATATACTTTCATTATTTTACTTCAATATATATTTTTATTATATTATTTATTATTATATTTATTATTACCACAACTTTCTAAGCAAACATTCATATACAGTGTATTGTCTACTCAAGGTGATTCCACAACTATTCTTTTTATCCATCTTCAAGGTGTGACGTCACGCCTAGTGTCGTCTCTGGTAATTTAGTAAATTTAAAGAAATACAAAAGTCACTATAATTCACTAGTATAGGGAATTTCGTTTTAAGTAATTTATTACTTGCGTTTTGTAACTAGGCCATGTGAATGAGAGAGATGGAGATATACGTTCGCTGTACTTGCACTCATGGCCTAGTTACAAAACGCAACGCAAAACGCTGCCATGGGACACAGGCCGCAGTCAGTCCCATGGCAACGTTTTGCGTTGCGTTGTAATTAGAGAGAATGCAGCAAACGTATATTTGCGTCTTTTTCTCTCCCATTACGACGCAACGCAAAACGCTGTCATGGGACTCCACCCACACACTTTTGGAAAAACCAAAAAAAAGTTGTTGTAGAAAGCCCCTTAAAGAACGAACTTTCAGTAAGGCCGCAGTCTCATGGCAGCGTTTTGCGTTGCGTTGTGATGAGAGAATGTAGCAAACGTATATTTGCGTCTTTTTCTCTCTCATTACAACGCAACGCAAAACGCTGCCATGGGACTGCGGCCTAAGTTTATATTAACAGAAAATTGTTAAATATAAAAATAATAAATAATATAAAAACTGTTTATTTAATTATACGACCATAGAATAAAGAAATAGTTTTAAAAAAAATTTTAAATTTGATAAATATTAAAATATAAATTATATAATTGTTGTGTAATGTGGACTCAACCTGAATAAAGAGAGAGAAAGAAATATACTTCTATCCTTGTTACACTAACTGCTCAACGCAAAACGCAGAGTTGCGATGTGCGTTGGTCTTTCTATTGGAAAAAGGCCTTTAGGGTGGCGTATAGGCGCTTCTATAGTGAATTAGTGAGAGTGCCATAACCGGTGTTACTTGGGTGGATGACAGTAATGTTGGTTATTTAAAACTTTTCTTTCATGTTCTGTGAGTGCACTTTGTTACAGTGATGATTTTACTTGAGATTAATAATAGAATTTTAGAAGAGACATTAACTAATAGAATAAAAAATGCCTTGTCAGGGTAAGTAATGCAAAACTAATCTGCAGACTTTTCGCAATTTCAATCTTTAATCTTTAAAATATACTAAATAAAATCTAATAATAATAATGATAGCTGCACCTAGTCATCTGTCTACACAGATAAAGTTTTAAAAAAATAATATTTCCACCTAATGTATGAGTGATATTCTACAGTCGGCTTTACTTTTACACCACATACGTGGATAACAAACTTTAAAGAAGCAATTTCCACCTATTCGAATGTTTATGAATGAATGAATGAAAATATGTCTGTCTAGCCTGTCAAATTAAGTAAATAAAAATTGACCATCTGATAAACCAAACATTTTCTTTCGGCTTTCGAGATAAAAAGAAAATACAAAATTTTGTAATGGTTTTACTCTTGTCTGTACCTATAAACTACATTAAAAAAATATACATTTTATTTTGTTGACAAATACGACACTACAGTTATAGCTTTTTTTTAATAAATAACTAATCAAAATTTGTATTTTTTAAATACGCTGGCTTTTACAGTACCGACAATAGATTTGTTTTTAATAATAGTATAATTTTTAAATTTAAATTAAAAACATTGTATATCCAACCAATTGTAAATAACCAAACCTATGAACTTAACTAACAATCCTTAGTATTTTTAATAGTAACGATATTTCATTTTAGCAGTTATTGAATTCACAGGCATGTGAAAAGTAAAAAGTGATTATTTTTTGTTTTCATTTTCTAATTGTGTATAAAAAATGTGATGCTTTTGGGTGAAAGGGACTTAACGCAGCAAGAAATTTAAGTTTATGATTGTTAATTTTAAAGAGAACATACATAATGACTATTAACTCTCACTGCAAACTCATAGTATTTGTATCTTTATTACATCTAAAATGTCCAACAAGAATTACTTTTGGTTGTACAAAATATAAAACATGATTATGAATCAAGGTGAAACGAATGTAAGCATAATTTAGAATTCTCCACAACTTGTAGTAAAGTATGTTAAAATTTAACTTACTTAATTATTAAAAAAAATTGGTTACAAGAAGTGTAGTAAGAATCTATCAAAAAATGAATAATTTCAAAATATTTTTATTTTTAACATAACACAAGTGGGACGGTTAAAATTACTTTAAATCGGCCCTATCCTATCAAACACTCCCAAAATTTAATTTTGGAGCTAAAAAAACCTTTTTTTAAGTTACTGCATAAAATAGCTTGTAACTTTGTTATTTTCGGTCCAAACTCAATGAATTTTTTTCATTTTAAAGTTGAAGAATTTGTCAACTTTAAATCCAATTATCGGCCCTAATTTCAGTTAAAATATTTTTTTTGACAAGAGATTTTAAGAGTGGGTATTTAATTCTGAGTCGAATGAGATTTTTTGAACAGAATTCGTTAAAAATTAACTGAGTTATTGCAGTTTTAGTTCCTTTTGGAAAAAAAGAAAAAAATTTATATTTTAATCTGGATTAATCACATTTTTCAATAAAATCTTAAGTATTTTTTTAAAAGGAAGTGAAAAGCTTGCAGAACATATATTTTTGAATCTCTATTGATATTTTGAAATTTTGACTTTTTCAGAAATAAATTAAAAAATTGACATAATTTAAAATTAAATTTAAAAATAGATTTTATAATCCCAATTTTTGAAATTTATTATTGAATCTTTCTTTATTACAATTTTATTATTTTTTGTTGCTTTTTATTGACATCAAAACGAAAAACTTGACGCGCGCTTTAACGCGTGTTATTTTAGCTTATGTTATTTTTATTTCTTAATTCATGCAAAAAATATTTATTAATGTAAAAAATGTAATAAATGTTTTATATTTTTATTTATTCTTTTATTTTTTTGCATTGACGCTTTAAACTTTTAAGTAAGACACAAATTATGAACATTCGTAAAATTAAAATTCAAGAAATTATTGAATATATTAAATGTTTTTGTTTATTCTTTTGCTTATATTTTGCGTTGACGCTTTAAGTTTTCCAATATCCTATTAACAAGCAGGAAATTGAAAAGGACTGAAAAATTTTAACTTTACACAGAAAACGTTAAATTATCAATTCTTTTGAATTTTGTTTTTGTCCAATTCCTATGTATTCTTTTTTGAGGCTAAGATTTCGTGGAAGTAAATTCCAATCAACTTCGTTTCAATATAAAAATGCCAAAATACCAAAGTTCCAATATAATTTATTTATTTATTTATTTATTTATTTACATAAACTTTCCCGCAGTCCAAGATGGCATATATATAATTTCCAATATATATGCCCACATAGCACCGAAAGTTTCCTAAAAATTTTTTAAAGATTTACTTACAAACTTCAAAGAATTTACTTGCAAAGTTTAGTGAAAATTGTGTGAATATTTAAATGTCTCTCTTCAATAAATGTTTATCGTCAAACTTTCCTGAAAATTTAAATTAAATCTTCGCCTATATAGATTTAGGCTAAAATTTAATTTAAATTTTCAGGAAAGTTTCACGTTAAACATTTATTAAAGTGGGACATTTAAATCGTTACCATCTTGAAAAAAGTTGTGTTGCATAAAAGATTTTTGGAAAAATCGTATTTTTTACCTTCACATAAATTATTGGTTCGAATGACGCTTTTGAAAAACAGAACTTTTGGTCTTTGGAAATTAAAATCTTTGGGACTTTTTTTCGTTGGAACTTCTGTTTTGGAACTTTTGTCCTCCAAACGAAGGAAATATTTATTCTCACTCAATAATGACGTGCTTTGATTGATTTCCTTCAAATTTTTTATTATTCTGCGAATATGCCATAAAATAGTCATTTTCGTTGACTGAAGAAAGTTGAAAATGCAAGTAAATTATTACAATTATTTCAGCCACAAGCCTGAGTCCATTGATATTACAATTGCTGACTTTGATGGAGCTTTATTTCATGTTTCAAACTTTAGTAAAGACAAATCAAAAATTAGAGTGAGTAATATTATTTATTGAGAATTCTAATATTTTTATAAACATTTTAATTTCAACTTTATTTTTCAGATTAGTATATTACTGAAATTTTACAAACAACTTCAAGAACATGGTGCAGATGAATTGCTCAAAAGAGAATATGGTTCTTATTTAATAGAACCCGAGAGTGGTAAGAAAAAAAATGTATTTTTCTATATTAAGCATAATTTCTGTAGCGATAAAAGTAGAAAAAACTTACAGTTTTTTTGTTTAAATCTCATCTCATTTCGTATCAGGTAAACGAGATTCTCCAATTTTGTATTTTTTTCCATCAATTTTTCCACAAAAATGAAAATTGCTACTATACAAAATCTGTCATACATCACTTTCATAAAATAACAATATAAGTATTCGAATTTAATGAATTATTATTTTATGAATGATTCATAAGTGGAATCTTAGTATTGCTATAAATACAAGAAATTAAAAAATTGAGTTCCCAAATTGAGAAAATAAAGGGATATTTGATATTTGATATAAATATTTTAACCTATGAAGAAAAAGTCGAAGTGTATTTCTAGTATTCTGAGAATTAGTAAACTTTCAGCAGAAGATTTGTGTAAATTGAGAATTATGATACAAATTGAGAAAAAATGAGTCCTCATTCAGATAGTTGGTTTGCGTCCGTGTTTAACAGTATGCTCATGGGCATTAATGGGTTAAAGCAAAAATGAGAAAAGTGACATAATTTGAAAGATAATTTCAATTACTTTATGTTAGGTTAGTTATAAATTATTTCAATAACTTCTGTTAATAAGTAATTCTTGAAAGCGCAACAATGCATTGCAGCATTAATAAAGAATGACAAACATTCCGATCTAGGTAATAACAGTACTTTTAAATTTTAGGTTATAATGTGACTGTGCTAATAGATTTGGACAATTTAAATGATGACTGGGAATCATTGATCAAGAAGATAGGTTTGCTTAAAAGACACTGTTTTGCAAGTGTTTTTGAAAAATATTTTGATTTTCAAGAATATTATTTTGATTCACAAGATGCTGGAATAAAAATGCATAAAAGAGCAGTTATTGAATATCGGGATCAAGAGTATATGTAAGTATTTTATTATTTTTATCTTCCTTTCTTCAATTCCTACATGCAGTAGTGTCTTTTATTAATCGATTCTCGTCCAATTGTGCTTGGCCAATCTCAGTAAATTCATAAATTCGAGAACTTGGTCCAAAGGAAAAGTACAAAAACAAATTATTAATTACTTTTTTAATAATCATAAACTCTGAAAATACTTATTAACCTTGTTTCATTAATATATAAAAATTTAGTTAAAATGCGTTGTGAGAAGCAATTGAAATAATGGTTCAAATTGATTTTCATCCTCAAATTTGAGCTAAATTGAAACAAAATTTTTTTAATTCTGAAGAAAACTAAGAGTAAAATTTCTATTTTTTGCATAATTCAAACCATATTAAAAAAATCGCAAGCTTTTTCTGATTACACAGGGTGGCCATTAAAATTCACGGACAAAATCCGAACTTTCTGAAAAACGCTTCAATTTTTAAGGATCAGATGTACAATACTTGAAGTTTGGCATTATTTTTACACGTTAAAACGCAATTTAAAAAATTTTGCAATGGACATTTCTTATGGCTTAGGAATCGCTCTTTCAAATGGAGTATCGAAAAATAATTAAGCAAACTTAAAAATAAACAAATTATATATGATTATTTAATAAAAAAAAAAACATGAATCCTACACGGAGAGACCCACACAAATCCTTCCAGTTTATCCCCATTAGTCAAGAATTAACGGGAAACCGGCGATAAAAATCCGTATTTTTTGGTGAACATTTGTCGGATTAGTGACTTAGTGTAGAAAATAGTAAAAAATACAAAAAGTCCCTTTATTTCCGGTGGTTGCAATGTGAAAATAGTAAATTCTAGTGTGATTTTATACAAAAATTAGTAATCTCGGTCTCTCCGTGTAAAATCTGGACCAACGAAACTAAAATATTCATAACTTCGTCAATTCTGCTCCCATTACCTTAAAATGTGAATACAATATTTTGGAGATATTATGCATTCTTTGAAAAAATTTTTAAAAATGCAAAAAAAATTTTAATACTTTACCCCCCTTCTCTGAATAAATTTCTAACAAATCTGTGGTTGTCAAATTTTAAAAATTAATGTGATTAAATTGTTAATAATTTTCAAAGTAAATACATGAATGAAAATTCTTCTTACTTGTCTGTTTTATTTTATTTAAGGGATTAAACCACATTTCAAAAAATAAATTTTTTTTATTAGCTCAAAAAATTGTTAAAACCTTCCAGAATAAGGGACAAAATGTTTTATAACTGTCCGAAATCGATTTCATTGAAATTTCAAGCTTTAGAGAAGAACTTTACCTTGCAGAAAATATGTATTAGAAGAATGGTTCCAGTGCCACCATTTTTGAATATTTATTAATGAAAATTTGCAATTTTTTACTTGAATATACAGTTAATAACTTCCTAAAATATTATAACTGTATGCCCTTTCTTTTCATTAAAAAGAAATTCTTGAAAAAACGTTCTTTTTTAGGCATCTACAGCGGTGTAACCCCTTACAGCAAGTATTGAAAATATTATTCGTATGAAAGTTATTATTTAATTTATTTGTTTCAGGTATGTAGAAGCAAAAAGTGACAGAGTCACTGTAGTCTTTAGTACTATATTTAAAGACGAAGATGATATGGTTATTGGAAAAATGTTTTTACAAGAGTTGAAAGAGGGACGTAGAGCAAGCCATACGGCACCCCAAGTTCTATTTAGTCATCGTGAACCACCACTTGAGTTGCAAGACGCTGGAGCGCCAATTAATGATTGCATAGGATATATCACATTTGGTAAATTCAGTCTCTCAGTTGTTAAAATAACTCTGCATAATCATTAGTTTCCCCACTTTTGCGAATGAAAACAGTAATAAATCAACTAAAACTTTAACCTTAAACTGGTTTTAAAATTATAAATCATATTCTAATTTAAAAATTAAAAATCGTGGAAATTATTTCTCTAATTCATTGAATATATATGATCGACATTTTGATTTTCATAAAAATAAAAAATTCTAATGCCTAAATTTTGACATTTCAACTTTTTCCTGAATTGACTTCTAATTGAAAATATAGTTTTAATGAAAGAGAGCCTAAAAAATTTTGGCTTTGTTTTGTTTAATTTTTTCTTAAAATAAAATCGACAAAGTGGGGAGGGCCTTTTTCATGCCATATAACTAATTAGAATAATGTAGATCTTAATATAACGTAAATATACTATAAGCAGAATTAATAAATCCTTTAGTTTATAATTAAATAATTATCATGTTTCAGTTTTGTTTCCTAGACATACTAGCAGGGAAGCTCGTAACAATACAATAGATTTAATTCACATGTTCAGGCATTATCTACATTATCATATAAAATGTAGTAAAGTTTACATTCATTCGAGAATGCGAACTAAAACAACTGACTTTTTGAAAGTATTAAATCGTGCAAGATCGCAACCAAAAACTACAGAAAAGAAGACTATCACGTAAGTCCTTTTCAAATCGTTTAAATATTACATCTGGTCGATTCAAAGTAAAATTTTTCCTTAGTTGGAAATTTTAAAGAATTTAAATTCAGTTTAACATATATTTTATAAATTTCAGACGAAAAGCATTATGTGCAATATTGACATTTTTGTTTCAGGGGTCGAACGTTTATCAGAAAAGAGTAGAGGCGAAGCATACGAAGGATTTGATCTAACCTATCAAATTAACATTTTGATATATAAATAGATGATAGCTTTTCTTCTGCGAAAATAAAAATGTGTATTTGTATTCTAGATCAAGAGAAGAATTTTACAATGAGAAAAAAAAATATATAGACGTGGTAATGAAGTATTAAAAGGAAAAACCATTTCAGATTTGAAATTTTTATTTACGGAAAATACTTATCAATTTGATTTGATGTTAAAAAAATTATGTACTGCATATATTTATATTAATATTATTATTAACATGTTACATTGACAACTTTATAAACTTCCAAGTTATATACTACACATTCACACATATTTACCTTTTACATTAATATTTTCTACATAATGTTCAGGTTAGAAATGAAAAATTGAGATGTTGAATATTTTTAATTAGTGAATTTCCCGGTATTGGGAGAAGAATTAGTTAAATTTGTTCAGTGTAAAGTAAAAGTAAATTTGATTTCAAAAGAATACTGGATATTGCAATAAAATGTTGGAAAACTTAAAAATTGATGCAGTTTTTAATGTACCGACAAAGTACTTCCTTAAAAAAAACAATTAAATCAAATGCTTATAACAATAATAAATAAAGAAAAGTTACATAATTCAACGTGTGAAATTCTGTAGGTTTGTTTTCATTATCTAATTAAAAAGTTTTTATCAGTGACTGGAAAATGGTAATTATCTTAGAGATTAAATCCGACAAAGGGTAATAGTGAAATTAAAGAAAATATGATTACAAAGCCGGGTTTTTAATAAATATTCTCCCACAAATTTATAGTAGTCTCACTGACTTATCCTCATTCCAAATTAGATCTTATTTTCTACGGGGATAAATTGACCCAAAAGCACTGCATTTTTTTTTGACTTTTTGAGAAAAATGTGTATAAAAAATTTTAAAACATTAAAAAAAATAGTTTTTGAGGATTATTGTTGAGGAAAAATCCTTATAAAGAGAAACCCTGTTTGAATTTTTAATTTATGTAAAATAGTGTGTTTTTTACCAATTCTGCACCAGAAAAGTTTAAACAAATTATTATTATTGTTATTTACTGACTTTTCCTACATTCCACCATAAAATAAAATACAGTTTTATCCTAATTTTGCAATTTATTGACCTCTTAATATAAAGACATGGAGAAACATTATAAAACATTATATCAACAATTTCGTTTAAATAAATTATTATTGTTATTTATTAACTTTTTTACATTTTACCTAGAAAGATGCAGTTTTTTCTCATTTTGCAATTCATTAACTATATTTACTATTTATGTATTCTTCTATTTGATTAAACCTGATAAATTACAATATTTGAAAACATCTGCATTTATTTTTATGTGAAATGTTGAAAAAACTAGTAAACAACAATTATTTGTATAAACAATTACTAACTACCGAGCTAACTAACTAACTTTCTAACTTACAAACTTAATTACTAATTAACTTACTAACTACCTTCCTCACTTACTAACTAACTTACAGACTTTCTAACTAACTTATAAACTTAATTACTAATTAAGTTACTAACCAACTTACAAACTTAATTATTAATTAACTTACTAACTAACTTACAAACTTAATTACGACTTTCGACTAATTTTATACAAATTCAGGCTTCACAGTCTGTCCCCTATTTCCCTAAAAGTCCCCTTTTTTTAATTTTGGCCCCTAAACGTACCCTATTTTAAAAATTTTCCCTAAATTTCCCCTATTTTTTTCTTTTATCTTTTAATGATGAATTCACACCAAATTTAGCTTCGTAAACTATATGTAACTAACACTAATTCTAATACAAAACCTTCAAAAAATTTTTCTATTTCTGACAAGAATGAATTTTTTAATATTATTTAATTATTACAAAAGTTTTAATGCAATTATCTTGATAAATAACAAAATTCTTCACAGAAATTCAATAATTTTTAGGAATTTTAATAAAATTCTTTACAAAATTCAATTATTTTCATAACTTACAATATTCATCCCAAGAATTCAATTATTTTCAAAAGTAATTAAATTCTTCGAAGAAATTCAATTATTTTAAAAAATTCTCACGATTATCTCGTCAAGAATTCAATTAACTTTACAAATAGCAAAATTTTACGCCAAAAAGTCAATTATTTTCAAAAATTTATCAAAATCTTTGCAACACTTCAATTATTTTCAAAGTTTTTTGCAATTCAATAATTTTCAATACTTACTATTTTCATAGAATTTATCAACAGATTTAATTATTTATAAAAAAACTTGTTGAAACAATTCTACGAAAATATTCAATTATTTTCATAAATAATAAAATTTCATTTACGAATTCAATTAATTTCATCGCTGAATTTCAAATATTTTTAATACAATTTTAAATAAATTCCTTGAAAAATGCAATTATTATTAAAAATTTTATTAAAACTTGAGGAAAGTATTCAATTTTAAGAAACATTCAATTATTCAATAAAACAATAAAATTCGTTGCAATAATTCAAATATTTTCATAAATAACATTTAATTCGTCGCAGATAATCAATTATTTTAAAAAAAATTTTTAAGTACATAATTTTGCAAAAGAATTCAATTAGCTTGTTAAACAACAAAATCGCATAAATTCTTCCCATAAAATCAATTATTCTATAAAGGAATTTTAATAAAATTCTTTTCCAAAATTCATTATTATATTATCATAAATATCAAAATTCATCACAAGAATTCAATTCTTTTGAAAAGTAATTAAATACTTTGCAAAAATTAAATTAATTTAAAATTTTTTTAAAAATTCTCGTCAAGAATTAAATTATCTTTATAAATAGATAGGGAATTTATTCTCAAAAATAAAGTTATTGTCAAAAATTTTTTTAAAATTCTTCTCAAAAAGTTAATTATTTTCAAAAATTTTAATAAAATTCTTCTCATGAATTCAATTGTTTTCAAAAATTAAACTTGTTAATACAATTCTTCGTAAAAATTAAATTTTAAGAAACATTTAATATTATTTATTTTTGTATTTAAATAATTGATTTCTCGTAGATTTAAATTATTATTTTTCGTACCTTTAACTAACAATTCTGTAGAATTAATTTTTTTCAAAAAATTTAATTAAATAATAATTGATGTTATTGATTTAAAGTAGGTAGAATTTTAGTTAAAAATTCTAGAAAATGTTAATTGAATTTAAATGATACAAATAATTTTGAAGAAATTACAGTAACAATATTTTTATAATAATAAAATAAATGATTATGTCAGTCGGTCATCTTTAATTATTATAAAACAAAGTTTTATAATAATATTCTTATGAGTTGTTCAATTTGAATTTGATTTTTTTGAACACCTTAATTCCAAAGAAAAAAAAATGATTAAATATTTATTTTAAATAAAGCTATTGATGTTTTTGAATAATTTTACTTTTGAAGTAATTTGTAAATAAATTTAATATAATTTTTAGAGTGAATCAGAATATTCTTTAGGTTTAGGGTCAGGGAAAAAGCCAAAGTTGTGTTTGGAAATCAGGGAAAAATGAAGTTAAATTTTTGTGGCAACCCTGTATAAATAAAATATATTTTTATCTTTATTTAACCAATTTTTATGGTCCCCTAAAAGTCCCCTATTTTTTAATTTTCAGTCCCCTATTTCCCCTAAAATACTTTTTAGGGGCACTGTGAAGCCGCAAATTCTAATTTAAATAATTGAATTCCTGAGAAATTTTTATGATTCATGAAAAGAATAATTGAATTCTTACGAAGATTTTTACAAAATTTTTTTTAAATAATTGAATTCTGTTTAACAATTTTATGAAAATAGTTGGTATTGAAAATCATTGAATTGACGTTGAATTGAATTATTGTGAAGAATTGTATAAAAATTTTGTTAAATAATTGATTTTTTCGAATTTTTTTTTGAAAATGCTATTTAAAATTAATTGAATTCATGTGGAAAACTTATTATTTATGAAAATAATTGAATTTTGAATGAATTTTATCAATTTTTTTAAATAATTGAAATCCTGTGAAAAATTTTATTATTTATGGTAATAATTGAATTCTTGCAATGTATTTTATTACATTTTTTAAAAAAATTATTCAATGCTTTTAAGAAATTTTATTAAACTAGTAGATTTTGAAAATATTTGTATTTTAGGGAAGAATTTCATTATTTGTGAAATGTAATTGAATTCTTGCAACAATTTCTTTGGAAATAATTACATTTTTCGAGGAATTTATTTAAAATGTATTTAAAATAATTGAAATCCTGTGAAAAATTTTATTCTTAATGAAAATAATTGAATTATTAGAATGAATTTTATTTCATTTTTTAAATAATTGAATTCATGTGAAATTTTTATTACTACTTGTCAGAATAATTGAATTCTTATGAAGGATTTTATTAAAATTTTTGTAAATAATTTAATTATTTTTGAAAAATTTTATGGAAATTTAAATTATTTGAAAAGAGGAAGATATATAGATCACTCTGAGTCTTCGACTCGGAGTAATCTATATTTTCCTGTTTTCTAATAACACTTACTTACTTTAATAATAATAATTACTCCGAATCGAAGACTCGGAGTGATCTATACCTGCCTACTTTTTTCTAATAATATTCTTATAAGCTGTTGAATTTGAATGTTTTGAAGAATTTTATTAGTAATTGAATTCTTTTGTGGAATTTTATGAAAATACTAGTACTAGATATTGAAAATAATTGAATTTTGAATATTTTTTTGAAAATAATTGAACCTTTTTTAAGAATTTGATTATAATTTTTTAGAACAGTTTTTTGATTTCTAGTACTAATGAATTTAAAGTTGTGGAAATTCTTAAAAAAAAAACAAAAATAGTAGCTTTTTAGTGGCTGAAATTTAAAAAAAGTACCCAAATAGTTGCATAACGTAAAAAAGTAGTAAATAGTAGGTTTTAGTAGGTGTGTGCGAAGCCTGAACTTACAAACTTAATTACTAATTAACCTACTAACAAATTTATTAATTTACTAACTAACTTAAGTTATTAACTTACTTATTAACTTACTAACTAAATTACTGACTAACTTACTAACTAATTTATTAACTAACTTAATTAATAATTAACTTACTAACTATAACATATACTTAACTTAGTTACTAACTAACTTTATAACTGACTAACTAATTTAATTACTAACTAACTTGGTAAGGCCCAATGGGAAATTTACAACTGGCGTAGTACTGCGCCAGCACTGGCAGCACTGGCGGCAAGGCTGAGAGCCAGCACTGGCATGGCACTGGGATGATAACGCCGTCTGGCGCTGCCGAAGTACTGTCTGTCAGTGCTGACAGACAGCACTGGACCAGTGCTGGCTGAGAATATTGCCGCAATAAATGCCGTATTGTTATTAATAAGTCGTAAATTCATAATTATAAATAATTTAACAACAAAATGGTAAATAATATTAATAAATAGTTATTATTCATGAAATATTTCTCTTCTTAAAGAAATTGTATTAAAGATGGAGACTAACAATGGATATAGTAAATGAAGTAGAAAAAAATTGTTTATAACATTTAAAAATTAAATAATAAACAATTACAGTAAGTGTGCATTAGATTTTCATATTTTAGTACCTAACGATTGAAATCTAGAAATATCGCAAACCTATGAAAATAAACAAAATTGCTGACGAGGGGAATCGAACCTACGACCTATGGACTAACAGACTAACGCTCTAACCACTATGCTAACGACACATGTGTACAGTAAAGTATTAATATCTCAGTATCATTCAGACAAGCAATTATTGAGTCAAAGATGAGAAAAAACTAGGGATACGTTAGAAATAATAAATTAAAATAAATGTTTAATAATTAAATTAAATTACTTTACTTATTGCATTTAACATTTTACGTAATTCTTAAATTACGTGGTAATTTTTTAATAATTTTTTATTCATAGCAAGAAGTATAATAGTATTTTAATAGGAACCAAATTATTATTGAGATTAAAGTTTAAATTTTGTTTATAATTTTAATTTGTTTAAATAATTTATTATTTACAAAATTAGACAATTGTGTTAAATTGTTATTATTAAATTTAATAAGAATAAAAAATGAACAACTGAAAAGTAAAATATTAATTTTTTTCAATAAATTTATATTTATAAACATTCATAAACTTTTTTTATAATTTTTTTCAAGTTTATGTCAAAAAAGCAATGTTGGCAAAGAGCGTTGTGAACAATTTTTCTATACTCAGCCAGCACTTGCCGCCGTGGCTTGTCCAAGCTTTGGCGAAACAAAAATTCTGTACTGCGCCAGCACTAATTGTCGAGGCTCGGCTAGACTACGCTGAACAATCGTCTGAGTACTAAGCCAGTGGTGAACATCGGCACTACACTGGCATTTCCCATTGGGGGTATTAAGTAACTAAGTTAGTTCGTAACTAAGTGAAGTAGTTAGTTAGTAACTAAGTTAAGTAAATTGGCTAATTAGTAATTTATTTAATAGGTTAGTAAGTTGGTTAGTTAACAAGTCAGTTACAAATTTGAACTTTACCCTCGCCGGGTTAAAAAGACATTTTGTAAATTCTTATAAACAATTAGGATCAGAAATCACATGGGAATTGCTTAAAAAAATTTTAAATAAAACTTGTAAGTTTTAATATAACAGGATCCCAATAGTTTCTTATTTGATATCTGCCTTCCTGTGCCCATGGGTATATCGCTGGATATCCTGATATATCACGTAATGTCCACGATATTGTTTTCGGACAGTTTACAGATATATGGTTGGTTTGGCATAGTATGGATATTCTTGGATAAGATGTTTATTTCATATCTTGTAGATATATTCGCAAAACATCTTTTGGATATCTCTAAAATATCCTCGGTTTATCTTTCGAATATTTTATGTGTATCTTTGAACATCCTATGGATATTCCTGGGTTTCTGAATATCCCGAAAGTAACTGAGCCTATTTTGTAGAAATCCTTCGAGTTTCCTAGGGATATCCAATTGATGTCCTCAGAATATTCTGGTGATGGTCTAAGTACACTCATAAATATATCACAATGAAATGATGTTGGGATATCTGCTGGATATTCTGGGATATCCCGGGATATTCTCTGGATATTCTGTGTTGGTGGAATATCCTACACTTGGTGCTAATCTACATTGCCGGTTAACACTAAATCGGATTATAATTTTTTACATTAGTACTTTTATCCTTACTGTCCACCATCTAGCAGAAAAGAAAAAGAATCTTCCGCTTTCTCCAAATTGTTTTGCTTTCATAATAATATTTCTAACTGTCTCATGTCATACCTAGAAATTTACATTATGTTTGGTTTAACTTTTTTAGAGAAAAAAAAATTAGGAAGTTGAGCACCCTATCATATGAAGAACTGGCTCTGGCTCCAAGTATTTCATTGAAAATAAGCAGTACAGTTACTGACGAGCAGTGTTAGTCAACTCGTGATATAGGAAGTGCTTATTTATGAATAGATATTTTAATTTAAAAAATGTGATAGTAATTGGTGTTGCTTGTAGTATACGGTGTTACTCTTTACTGTCAGCAATCCACATAATCACATTAAAAAAGGTATGTATGTCATGAAAGCTAACAATATTTATTTAATATAAAAAAATTAAGAACTCTCTTAACTTTTACAGTTTTATCTGCATTAATAAACTTCTACATTTAAATATGTACATTCTATGTGTGTGGTAACTAAGTAGGCCTTTTTACGATAATAGGGTTATCTAAGAATCAAAATATAATCTATATTTCAATAAGAAATTTTAAGATAAAAATTTTTAATTTATCAAATCTGTTTCCTATATATTGTATCTATTGCTTTTACGAATCCTTAAACCCACATTTATTATCGTAGAATAAAAGTTATTAATTAGAATGTCGACTTTGAATGAAATAAAAGAAATATGGAAAATCGCAGATGCGGTTACCTTCGATGTCGATTCAACTGTTATTCAAGAAGAAGGAATTGACGAACTGGCAAAATTTTGCGGAAAAGGGGATGAAGTTACTGGTTTGTAAGTTGAAGATATCTACTGATAACATAATTTGTTACTATTAAATATTTAATAATATATTTACAATTAAAGAATAAATTAAATATTTTAATTAAACAGTTCTTGAATGAATTTCATAATGTATAAAAACTATTGTAGTATTATTACATATTATATAATTTTATTAAAGGGGCAGTTAAGTAATAACTAAAAGAATTCTTTTAAAATTTCTATTTTTTAAAAACTTAGACAAGTAACAAAGCAATTTTTTTTAAAGATATTGACTTTATTTTATAATATGGAGGCAACATTGACTCAACATTAGTTATGTCCGCCTAGTAGGAACATTGCCTGGCAATGTTGGCGTAATATTGCCAATATGTTATAATATATAGAAAATATTAATTATACAATAATATATATTTTATTACTATATATTATTATATTATAATATTTTTTTAACATTGCGAGGCAATGTTGCGTCAGGACTAACTGATCAAAAGCCTTGTTAGAAAGTTATATTTGAGATTTAATAATTATTTAAACGTGTTGCAAATTTAAAATTACTTTGCTCTAATTTCACATAATGACATAAATAATGTAAATTAACCAGAAAAAATGTATCCCTAAATTATTCACGAAAGGTTTAAGACAAATTAATTCTTCAGTTTAGAACTCTTGACCTTTAATTCTTAAAGCGCACCCTATTAGTAGGAATTTTCATTATAAACTAATTGAAGCGCGGTCGCCTTACACTAGTGTTGCCGCGATAATGGCGAGAGGAGACGAGAGAACTTTGACTCGAGACGAGACAGTATTTTTTTAATTATCGCTAAAACGATACAAGACGAGAGAGGTGTCACGAGAGACGAGAATTCTCGATGAGAATTTTTTTAAATGGCAAAGTTTTATTCTGAAAATATAGTTACGATTAATATAATTATATAAAATATGATAGATATATGTATACTAAAATCTTTTATGGTTTACGTTGCATTTAATAGATTTCTTAAACAAAATATAAGAAATTATAAATATTTTATATAAATTATATTTTTTTATACATAATATTTAGTAAATACACTCTTTTTCAACTAAAAGTTGAAATTTAATTCATTTTTCAGTTTTTTTTTAATGAGCACTCGAACCAAGAATGAAGACATAATATAGGAGCATTTCAGCATTTGATATTTGATAATAAACAAAACAAGTAATCAGTTATTTGAAACAAAAATATTTTTTAATGCAAGAAAAAAAATTGCATTTTTGATTATTTGAAAATAAACTGTAACTATTGTTTAGCTTAACATTTTTTATTCCAATATGGCTAAAATTTTAAACCAGCGACTAATACCTGAAAGACTACCAAGTCTCACCTTAATCGTCAAGTCATTTTTCCGTAATGTGTAAACACGTCAAATTTTTTACAATACTTCTATAAAAAAGCTGAAAAAGACGAGAGAAAACGAGAATGTAGAAAAATTTTTTTAATTTCTTTATTTTTTATAATATTTTTTAAAATAAAATATTCACAGAAACATTTTCATTTTTGTTTTATGTGTTCAATAAAAAATAAATTCTTTTTAATTAATGTCATTTCTCTGTAAGGTATTAGATATATTCTTCTTTCCCCCTTTCTTTATTTTTATAAACTTTTGACAGAAATGAGATTTATCAAATGTGATAAATATCATGGGTGCGTTATGACCGCACTTAGTTTTTTATGAGAATACAAAAAGTCCAATACAAAAGTGATCGGACATCTTTGCTTTTTACTATGTATAAATTAATTTTTTGACACGTTGAAAATAACATAAAAGTATCTTTAAACATTTTTAAATGTACCACAAATCGAAATGATAAGTTCAATGCGTATTTGCACAGTAAATATATTATATTTTGTGATCCAATACAAAAATTTTCTTTTTAAGATTAATGATCATTATATTAAATTTTCAATAAAATTTTTCTAGTCTACGGAATCAATTGAGTTTTTTCACCAGTAGTTAACTAAGGTCCATAGCTTTAAATACATATGCATATGTTCGCTGAATATCTACTTGGGCACAAGTTATCAGTCAAAAACCAAAAGGTACCCACAACCAAACCTATTCCCCTACACCCCTATATATGAAATGGTACGATTTATAAAAGTAACCTGAAACAGTTTTACCACTAATCCTACGAAATATTGATAAGTTAACTTGTATGTAATAAATTAAATAGATTGAATACGAATAAATAATTATAAATTTTTGCAATTTACAGAACGAATCAAGCAATGCAAGGATGCATGACATTTGACCAATCTTTAAAAGTAAGGTTAGATATTATAAAACCTACTAAGGCTCTAATAGAAAAATTCTTGGAAACACACCCTCCAAAACTCACACCAGGAATAAGGTAAAAATAATTTTATATAGAACTATTTCAGTCATTAAATATGCAAAAAAAGTAATCTTCATTTTAGCGGATTACTCTATCATAGATATATAAGAATAGAGTACGCGAAAAAGAAGAGGGGACGAAAGAAACTACTTGTCTCTTTCTACCGAGTTGACGCAGTCTCGCATGAGAATTACATGGACAAAAGTGCTCTCTATTCTTATACCTCTATGATAAATACAACTAAACTTTATTATTAATGTATGAGTGTTTTCCAATTTCAGCAGAAAGCTTTAAACTAAAAGCAGAATTTCTTGAGGGTATAGAGTCCTATGGCAGCGTTTTATAACTAGGCCATGAGTGTGAGAGAGGTTCGCTATGAAAATATAATTGCATGAGTGCAAATATGCACTCATTGCTTAGTTACAAAACGCACCGCAAAACGCTGTCATGGGACTGCACCCTTATAGAGTGGATCTAAGGATCTAAGAATCAATCTATCTTACACATACGATTTTTTGCTTTTGGATTTCCGCTTTTTGCTCATATGAGGTTGTATTCTAAAGCTGAGTCTCCGCAATAGGTGCCAATATGCATGTGCAAGTGCCAGTGCCAAACCCATTTAAAATGTATTGGGGATTGGCACTGGCACTTGCACCTACATCGGCACCTATTGGAGACTCAGCTTAAGGGAGCAGAAAGGTAAAACCGAAGACAGAATTACATAAAAAAATAAAATAAAATTCTGTTTTCGGTTTTACGCTTTCTGCTTACATGGGACTGGACCCTAAAATAAATTCTATTAAAATAATAATCACAATAAACTTTTTAGACATCTGATAGCCGCATTGCATTTACGGCAGAAGGAAGTATTTCTAGTCTCTGGAGGTTTTCGTTGCCTAATTCGACCAGTAGCTGATATACTAAACATTCCTACTAAAAACATTTGCGCTAATAGTCTACAATTTTATTTCACAGGTTGGTAAACTCTTCTTGATTACACTAAACTCTCGCTGTAATGGACTTGAATGTCCTGTGATCAATTGCAGCAAGAGTCATTGAAGCAAGGTCACAATAACATTCAGAGCCGTCTGAAGCTCTAAAACATAGATTCTAAATGTATACATACTTAAAATTTTTAGCTTCTTTAATGCACAAATTTTTAACTAAAAATAAGTAATTAAGGAATAGAAACAATTTTGGGAAATATTTCAGTTAAAAATAGCTGTTTTCTATAATCGTTATCAGATATTCACACAAACTGATTTCATGTGAGGTACTATGTACCCGCAAAGTTTAGAAAATAATACTGTGTTGGTTTAGTCGCCGAGCTCAGTGCCTCCGTTTCCCTGCTTACTTAGAGCGGGCGCAAAGTAACACATTCTCACCCGCTTACCCTATCTCTGAGCGGTCGGAAAAGTATCTTGGGCCCGCACTCGCTTAAAAATGTCAAAACTCATCTTGATTACATAAAAATCAGTTAAGGAGGATGGTGACTGTCTTTTCGGGGCAGGCGGCGAGAGGGGAATTCACATGCTTTTATATGGGATTAAAACTGCAAATACCAACTGTTTTAATATATATTTTATAAGTGAAATATGCAATACTTAATATATTAGATATAAAAAATAGTATTTTTAATCATTCCAATTCATTATTCTTAAAAAATATTTTAAAAAATAATTATTTAATTACGTAAAAAAAATTTTGTAAAAAAATTTTATGAGCATGGAGATCGTGACAACAGCGCATTCCATATGCATGCTAGAAACAGTGTTGGTAACACTGAATAAGATTTCATTTGTTTATCATTGCATTGCGACGTTGCCACGTTTCTGTGTATTATGTTAGAGAGGTTAGAAAATCTGTAATTTTACGTCAGTTTTAATGTTATTTCTAAAAATCAGGACAGTCGGTTTACTCAATTATTTTTTTAAAATTATTCCAAAAGTATTAAACTTTAAAAGAGTATGATTTTTAAAAAAAGTTTAACTTTTTTACAGAAGTTATTATCAAAATAGTGCACTTCACATAACACTCCCCATAAGAGCCCATATAAAAACATGCAATTTCAACAATTAAATTCTCAAAAACGGGACAGTAAAAAATTTAAAAAAAAATTGTTCTATAATTCAGACATTCTTAACAACGAGTTTTTCCAAATTTCAAAAAATTCTTAACATTTTTATTTGAGTCACCATCCTCATTAACACTTAATTGAAGAATAATTTCTTTCACCATTAAAAAAAATCACTGCTGGTGCCCTCAATGCCATTCTTTCCATGCAGTTAGAACAAAAAATTATGTTCGCAAAATGGGCGCAAAGGTGATTACGACTCAGACGAGATTTCGGGACGTCGACAACACTTCCGCTCCCTCGGTGGTTCCTTAATCTCGCCATCGTCGTAATCACCTATATTTTGCGCCCTTGATACGAAAAGAACTATTGTCCTTTTCATTAGAACTGCGTACTTATATATAATATAGGATTGTGTCTTTGCAGGTGAATACGCAGGATTTGATAAAAATGAACCTACTTCAAAAAGTGGCGGAAAAGCAGAAGTGATAAGACGCCTTAAAGAGGAAAGAGGACTTGAAACAGTAGTTCATATAGGGGACGGAGCAACCGATTTAGAAGCTTGTCCACCAGCTGATGCATTTATTGGTAAACAATTATTTTTTAAACGTATTAAAAGAATTAATATTCTTGTCATAGTATCACTTTGAGGTTGAAAAGTCAATGACAATCCTATTGATAAAATGAAACATTTTTGTTTTTGGAGCGTTTTCAAAATGTTTTTAGAATAATTCATCTCTGGCAAATAATATTTGAATGTTCTATATTCGTGTTTAGAACATGAAACGCCCAACACAGAAAAAATTTTAAGTTTCTGGAGGACTAAGAACTTTTAAATTTAAAATCAGTCACGAAGTAGTATAAGGCTAGACTTGACGGGCTAACAAACACGAATTTCAATTTTTTTATTTTATGCTTATTTATTTTTATTTTATGCTTTTATTTTTTTATCTTATGCTTATAAAATAATAAAACTCATTGTTTTTATTACAGGATTTGGTGGAAATATTGTCAGGGATTTCGTTAAATCCCGATCGTTATGGTTTGTTTCTGATTTTAGTGAACTTATTAAGGCTTTAGATGACTGATTTTATTACAATTGTATCGTTTTACTGAGTAACATCTATGTAAACTAAAGAAAATTGGTTTTTTTTCCAAAAACTTATTCAATTTGAATAAAAGATTACTTGAAAATTATCGTTAAATATTTATTATCACACAGCTTTTATGCTGACAATATTAAGGCAATATTTGTAATGTTAAGGCAGTGTTTCTTTTTGGGAATGAATCGTAGAAAGATCGATCACAAACACCAAAAATAAATTTTACGCACTCACAAACAATTCTCTTTATATTGTTTTTTATTTAACAACAATTATTTTTCCTACTTATTAAAGCTTAAAAATTCTTATTTCATTCCCTGTAAACATTATAATCGGCAATTTAGGGGAATTTAAGAAATTAATTAAATTTCACAAAGATGTCAAAGGTTATACTGTGTATAAAAATTTGAAAAAAATAAACTCCGCTCGGTATATACATTATAACTTTTAAAATTTTTGTAAAATTTTATTAATTTCGCAAACAACCGAAAACTCTGATATTGAAGGTGATGAAACTTTGAAGAATCGTTCAGAGAAGTTAGATGGCATATGGGAAAATGAAAGCAGATCAAGCGAAGATGTACCTTTTACATCGTATTATCAGGACCTAATGTACCTGAGTCAGTTACTTCTCCACTTGATATTTTTCATTGTTTTTTTTACAACAGAGATAATTGACATTTTAGTAAATCAAACTAATCTTTATCTCGATTATCTGATCTCGATCAAAAACAGAGTACTTTAGATCCAGTATCCAAAGCTGAAATGCTTACGTTTATTGGTATTAATATACTATAATGCACGTAAAGTGACTCCGGTCTTTTAAGGATTATTGGTCTATGAATTCCCAACTAAACGACCCATACACCAGTAATCTCATAACTTTAATACCAAAGAACCAAAAAAAGGTAAAGCCGGTTACGATAAACTGTATAAAATAAGGCTAAAAATAGAAAAACTAAATGAAAATTTTAAGAACTTTTTCAAGACAAATCAACATCAGTCAGTAGATGAGTCGATGATAAATTATAAAGGAAGCTAGGAACATAATGAAACAGTATAATGCCACTAAGCCAATTAAAATAGGTTACAAAATTAGGGTTCGTGCTGATAGTTCAATTTACGTATGTGAATTCCAATTATACACAGGTAATTCAACAAATGTCAAAGAGAAATATCTAGGTGTTAGGGTTGTATGATATCTTAATCGATAGTAATGGTTTTCAAGTTCCATAAAGTTTACTTCGATAACTTTTTCACGAGCATCGAGTTAAAGATTTCCTTAAAAGCAGATGGAATCTTAGCTTGTGGTACTGTTCAACCAAACCGAGTTGGCTTACCAAAAAAACAATTGCTTGATAAAAAATTGTCCGCGGAGAGATGGAATATCGTACTTACTACACTATCTAACTTCCATGATCCTTCTGAACCACAGACAGTAAATCGAAAATTAAAGGATGGTTCACGAATCCCGGTACCTTGCTCAGTCATGATGTCGGAGTACAATCAGCACATGGGATATGTAGATAAAGCTGATCAGCTTAAATCTACTTATCAAATCAATAGGAAATCAAGCATTTTTGGCATCTACTAAGCTTATGTTATTTATGTTCAATTTGGAAAAAAACGATGACATTAAAGACTTTCAGATTAGACATAGTAGATGGTTTAGTTGGTAGAATTACGCCTCTAAAAAAGGTAGAAAAAGTTTGCCGAAAGTATTTATCTCACATGCACAACAATTGCGCTTTTGGCGACAGGGAGTAAAGTCATTCATTTGTTTGACTGTATAAAAATTGTGGACATTTTTTTACATGGGCAACAACAACAGCTGTTCCCATATGTTATTTTTGCTCATGGAAGAAAATGAACGCTATCTTCTACAAGAAGTAAATTACTTTTACTACCTGTCGCCTGCTATCTGAAATCGACACTTTTGTGCATAAGGAATAAAAAGTAACGTAAGTAACACATAGACAAAGGCAGCCATTTGCCATCTGATTAATTTCTTGAAACCTCATCTACCGTACTGGATCCGCCATTTTGGATTTTTTAAATCCGATTTTCGATTCGTAATCAGCAGCCACGAAAACCCCCAAGTAAAGACTTTCAAACAAATCAGATTAATTTTTTAAAACCGTGTCCACCATATTGGACCATATTCAATTTTGAAAAATTAAATTATCTCTAAAATTTATTATATTTTTTTATTATATTATTTTGGATAATTAATTTATTAGTAATTGGAAAAATAGATAAAATTAAAAATTATTCATTAATTTCAAAAACTTAAAAAAATGATTTCATTTTTACTTTATATATGGGTGATTTTTCTTCTGAAAGGGATCAATTTACTTGTCTCCAATTTTTCGATAAAGTTATCTATTATCTACGAAGATTTATCTATCTCTACATAATCTTCTAATGCTTATATTTAAAGTTCTTTATAGTTAAAAAACGTATTTAATTTTGTCTTCGAGTTTTGGTTAAATAGCATATGTATATTTTATAATTATGTTTAACGTAATTAAATAATTTTAACATATTTATAATATTTATCAAATTAAAGTTCAGAATCTAACGTTTATTTTTAACTTATATTTGTTTAAAATAAGATTTAAAAAGTTATTTAAATTATTAATTAAAATAGTATTATCAATGCGAGTAAAAATTTAAATTTATCTCCGAAGCCTCATTTTCTAAATAATAACATCATATTTTCTAACGTATTAAACATAATTTATAACAACTTCTTTGTTTAACATTGTTTGTCTATTTCTAGACAATTACAACTGCCATAAGAATATCTTCATCTGAAAATTTTACTGTTCTTTACTTCGTCTTTCAATAAAACTGACATAAGAACATAAGACTATCTCTCTTCAAATTTAACCATGAATTTCTTTCTTTTTCTAAAACAAAATGCATAAGAATGTCTTACTTTACCTAATTTGCATATCTACTCGTTTCTAAATAAGGATAAGAAAGACTTTGTCAATCAATTATTTCGTGCGGAATAACTACTGGATTCCTAGTAAAATTTTTACAAAAAATTCGTTAGGAATTCACCCGAATTTCCTGCAGAATTTGTTGGGAATAGTGGTCGGATATTATTAAAAAAAAATTTTTAGTTAATACTTCGTGCGAACTTACGGTTGTATATTAATACTATTTTTTCCATATATATTAAATATAATATTGCACTAAAATAATAGGTAGATATATTTTTTCAGATAAGTATTAAAATATAATTTAAAAATTTTTGAGCGTTCAAATAAAGGAAATGCAAAAAACAATTTAAGGATATGTTAGGAATGAGGATAATATTATTTAACATTTGTAGAAGATGATGTTTTATTAGTGATATAATTATGCTGTGTAATTATAATTATTATTTAATATATAAAAAATATAACACAAACAAATAAATAAAATAAAAAAAAAAAAAAAAAAAAGTGAAAGTTTTTTTTTTTTTTTTCACTTTTTTTTATTTATTATTATTATTACATATATATATGTTGGGCTCAAAGACCGAAAACGCTCATTGAGCGAAAATATAGTCCACAACGCGTTGTGGCTCCTTCAAATTGTCCACAACGCGAAATTCGTGTTGTGGCATGGCAAAAAGTGCTCAAAACGCGTTGTGGTAATTTGAAAAGGGCCACAACGCGAAATTCGCTTTGTGGCTGCTACAATATTCGGCCACAACGCATTGTGGTAATTAAGAAATGCCACAATGCGTTCTGGATTCTTTTATATTTGCCATTACGCGTTTTGGTAATTTAGAAAAATCATAACACATTTTGTTGCTTGCAAACAAGGTGTATACTAATTACCTGTCTTATTATTTGATACTTAATTAATCAATTTTCTATTATAAGTATGTCATTAGCCTCTACGATTATAATACCTTTGAACTTTTCTTTATTCAATGAATAGTTACAGTAGTAAAATTTCCACATCGGTGATTGCTAAAGTAGATTTAATTAAAAATTTTTGTAGTCTTTGTGTAATATTTATAGGGTAAGTGTACCAATTGCCGAGGGTGTTCCATTTGTCGATGTTACCATGGTAATAACCAAAAAATATTGTCTAAAATGTCTGATTCGTTTGTTTATATAATATTAATATATTTTTTTCACATTTATAACGCATAAAAAAATTAATATTTATTACTTTTTTTCATTTACAATGTGCTACACTGTTTAAATAAAATTCAAAGTTTGTTTACTCGACAACAGGAACCATCCTCGACAATTGGTACGTTTACCCTATTGTGACATTTATATAATTTAAAAAGCTGTGCAGGATTTTAACAATAATATCAATAACTCATAATGGATAATAAAGAGGCAATATTTTTTGAGAAATTAAGTGAATTGATAAAGAATAGCACGGTACGTTATTTATTATTTTTATATAAATTAAGCAAGTAAAAATAAAACAATGAAAAAATATAGATCAAAGTACAAAATAATAAAATACAAATGATTATGTTTAAAGTTAATTTCGGGTATTTATAGTTTAAATTATTTGTAAATAAAATTATATGTTATTTGCTTAAAAAATACTACAGTTATTTATTTCTTATCATTTCTAAATTACCAAAACGCGTAATGGCAAATATAAAAGATTCCAGAACGCATTGTGGCATTTCTTAATTACTACAATGCGTTGTGGCCAAATATTGTAGCAGCCACAAAGCGAATTTCGCGTTGTGGCCCTTTTCAAATTACCACAACACGTTTTGAGCACTTTTTGCCATGCCACAACACGAATTTCGCGTTGTGGACAATTTGAAGGAGCCACAACGCGTTGTGGACTATATTTTCGCTCAATGAGCGTTTTCGGTCTTTGAGCCTAACATATATATCACTTTATTTTACTTACAGCCACAAAAATACACATAATCCTTATTAATAAAATCAGACTTTTGTCTGTACATTGCATAGAATTCAAAATTTCTATTATATTCCTTCTTTTTACACTCTAAGGAATGCGAAAATACTATTAAGAAAATTATGTGTGTATGTGTATATGTGTGTATGTGTGTATGTGTGTATGTGTGTATGTATGTCCGCAAATTTTCGA